TGAAAAGGTGAGTAGTCATATTTTTCGTGTTTTTCTTATCTGTATACATTTGTGAACTAAGTTCATGTCAACTTGTCAATTTTAGTCTTTTTCATTGTGTTTTCATTTTCATTGGCAGTTATCGATGTCATCATCGTTCACAAAGGCAAACCTGTCTATACAAAGTCCGGTTTTTGGATTCGGGTGGTCGAAAAATTCATCAAACAGCAAGCACAGACGCAAACCAGGACTTGGTGGTGATGATCTTGGCGCCCTAGAAACAGTTTCTGGCAACATCACAATCTGAATCTATAAAGCTTGGAACTTCAATCTGGCCATATGCAGTTTTGACAACAAAGACATTAAATGTGTTCAGAGGTTGAATTATAAGAATAACTTTTCATGTCAGTCAGATCTCCGTCCGCTTTAACGAGGTCATTTACTTTGACAGGTCTCAAATGGCCAGCCATGTTTGTTTACAAACGGGGACGTAGTTTTGGTTTTTACTGTAAAATGAAAATCATGTGAAATAAATGAAAAAAATGATAATGTGACATCATGTTGTTGATATGAAACTATGTGTCTTGTCTTAAAATTCTCGAATCAGTGAGATTGTAGCACGTAAAACATCTGAAGGGAAAGGCGTGGATTTGTGAATGAATGGGATGAGAAAAAAATAGTTCCGTTGTCCAATGAAAATTAATCTTTGTTCCACTGACCAATCAGCTTCGAGAATCACTAATTGCACACTGTGCAAATATCAAAAAGTTATTACACTGCATATTTGAGCCCATATGGGTAATAAATTATTTTATTTTATATTACATGTACACCGAGTGAACATTTACCTCATTTTTGTATATATATATATATATATATATATATATATATATATATATATATATATATATATATAGAATAACCCACGAGGAACTTAAAACATTAATTTCACGAGTGACATATTTTCCGTAATCACTCGTACCGAGTGGGTTATTCTATTTATTACCCATATTCATATTAAAGACATGTTTCAAGAAAAAAACAATCAACTGTCGCCGATCAAGAATCAGCTGTTTTGTATCAATCCGCGTGTAAAAAAACACTGTCTACTCATTCCAACCACATTACTCAATTAACGTGCTGTTACGCGTGAAAAATAATAGTTCTGTTAAAAAATTGTAAAGATCACATTATTGCAGTTATATTTCTGTCCGATTTACACAGCGTACACTATCTAGCATTGATAAAGAAGACAGGTTCCCAAAAAGGTTCATCAGGTTTTTTAATCAAAGCTTGTTTTGACAAGATCTCATCACTGACAGACAGCCCCCGTCGTGCATCGGCAGATACATGCATTTCACATTGAGAAGAGGAAACACGGAAAAACTGTCAATTTTTTTATGTGTCATTTGACAAAAATGCCAAAACCTATAACAACAACATAGACGGAATGTACAGAAGTCTTGTTTGTTAGAGAAAAGTTACGAAAAGAAGCTAAACTTTGACAAGTACGATTGCTGTCACAGTGTCGGAATGAATAACCCGACTTGACCCAGATATGAGACAGCCGAAACCAGGAATGACAAGAGAACCGGTTACAGTTTAATCCGGACAACAAGTTGAATTAACATCGTGTGTGATTTGAGACAAGTGTCACTGATGGGAAACATGTGCATGTTGGATTTCAGGAGGATTTGTCAAACGCGGAGTGGACACAGTCAGATGACGGGAGTTTGTTGATATTTTGATGTGATTCATAATGGTCGAATACCTGTTGATAGACAAACACGGTATCTGGAGACTTGGTGCTAAGCTGTCCGCATTCACGGAGTTCATTTAGTTCAATATCGGACACAGGATCAGCTCGCTGGGGTAAGTTTTCCTTTCCTTGTATTTTTAATTATTTTTGTTTTGATTTCAAAACCTCCGAGTTCAGCAAAGTGCATCGATTTTGCAACCAGTTGCTGGCAATCATGTCGCTGAGGTAACACTCTATGCTACCCTTGATCTCCTTCAAAGTAGACAGTTCGAATTCTGAACTGTCTGATGTGCATGCCGAAATGATAAATTTGCAAATAAGAATGTTTAGTTGCACCTTTCCTGTGTCATTAACCCTCATAGTCATACGGTCAGCGGACGTCGGTCAGCCTGCATACCGCTCAGCGCCGTACTTTGCAGACGTCGCGGTTACGAAAAACGTATACATTGTATAAAAAAGTGTCACGTCCTTATTTCTTCACACAACGTTACAAAATTGTACGAAATAGTGTATCTTTATGATGTCTTTCGGAAAGTCTAAATGTTGTTGCAAAATGAATTTGTTTTTATTCTCATGCCATCGTTGAAAGTGTGAGTAGTCATATTTTTCGTGCTTTTCTTACCTTTATACATTTGTGAACTAAGTTCATGTCAACTTGTCAAGTTTAGACTTTTTCATTGTGTTTTCATTTTCATTGGCAGTTATCGATGTCATCATCGTTCACAAAGGCAAACCTGTCTATACAAAGTCCGGTTTTTGGATTCGGGTGATTTCATCACACAGCAAGCCCTCTAAACACAGACGCAAACCAGGACTTGGTGGTGATGATCTTGGCGCCCTAGAAACAGTTTCTGGCAACATCACAATCTAAATCTTTGAACTTCAATCTGGCCATATGCAGTTTTGACAACAAAGACATTAAATGTGTTCAGAGGTTGAATTATAAGAATAACTTTTCATGTCAGTCAGATCTCCGTCCGCTTTAACGAGGTCATTTACTTTGACAGGTCTCAAATGGCCAGCCATGTTTGTTTACAAACGGGGACGTAGTTTTGGTTTTTACTGTAAAATGAAAATCATGTGAAATAAATGAAAAAAATGATAATGTGAAATCATGTTGTTGATATGAAACTATGTGTCTTGTCTTAAAAATCTCGAGTCAGTGAGATTGTAGCACGTAAAACATCTGAAGGGAAAGGCGTGGATTTGTGAATGAATGGGATGAGAGAAAAAATAGTTCCGTTGTCCAATGAAATTTGATCTTTGTTCCACTGACCAATCAGCTTCGAGAATCACTAATTGCACACTGTGCAAATATCAAAAAGTTATTACACTGCATATTTTAGCCCATATGGGTAATAAATATTGTTTTAAAACCTATTCAATGATGCGCATTTCTATCATCAGTAATGTCGTACTAAAACGTCAGAATGACACTCAAAAGACACAATATGGAACTACGGAAACGAATTATGATTACTCTTCCTGACTGTTTGTTGACTTACTAAATGTAAAATCTATCCAATACTCCCCAAAGTATAAATACCTTACATTATTGTCGAAATACCAAGAGACAGTTATAAGAAAGGGTGCAACTCTTTTCTGTTTTCAAAACGATAACGAAGCTTGCACAAAGACTTTCGAGTTCTAATGGTATGTTAATAAATAGTATACCCGGTAGACTATTAATTTGAGCTCGGTTAAGCAGAGGTAACTTTTCTCTAAATTGAAAACACATTACTTTTTTTCTTCATTCTGCCTTAACAAAATCTTTCGCGAAGACACTGAGTGAAGCGGCATTGGTCCAGTCTTGATTAGGTTACCGATCTGAATAAAGGAGACAGGGATAATAGCTTGTAAACAAACTATCTGTTTGCATTGTTGTACTTGTTGGTTTTGACAACATTACATTTTATTCACATATATTACAGGCATGTGAGGTAGTTATTGAAATTTGAAACCTCTGATGGGACAGTCAGAATAGTATATTTTCGAAAACCATGGTAGAATTATTGTTTAAGACCGCATTCAACAACATTCCAGCTATGTGACGATGGTCTGTATAATCGAGTCTGGACAAGACAATCCAGTGATTCATATTGCATATAACCACCCACGCCGTCAGGTATGATGACCAGCATAGCTTGATTGAAATCTAATATTTTCTATATTAGATCCACTGCTTGTCTATTTGGGATCGATTACTAACATGCGCAGGTGTAGCTTTAAAACTGCTGACTGACGCATAAATCAACATTCACTCATTAACTCACTCACTCACCTTACGGGTAACGTTTTCGTGTTTTGTTGTTTAACGCCGCACTCAAGCAATATTCCAGCTGTACGACCGCGGCCTGTAAATAACCGGAAATAACTGGCCTGAACCAGACAACCCAGTGATCGATATTGTGAGCAACGATCCACGACCATCATAGGTGTTTGGGGACTTATTCTAACCCGAAATCCCGACATGGGTTTTCACATATAAAAACAAAACATCTTTGATTGCCATGGTGATATACATGCGTTATCGGTGTTGTTGTTTTTATAGTCGGTTGTTATTTGGTTCAGGGTATCTAATAGTGCAAGTCTATTGAAAAACAAGACACTCCTTTGGAGACGCTAAAATAGATTAACGCACGTAAATTTTGGATGCATCTGTCCTTCAATCGTACATTATTTAGAGGAGGCAATTGTGACAGTACCCTGTACATAGAGAGTACAGTCCCTTAGCACTGCCAGGATCGGCTGATTCCAAGACACATACACGTGGTTGTTGCTCCACGATCTACGTCACATAGGGGCGTTTTCTCTCTCACAAAGCTGACACAGCGTGATGTAACTGAAATACTGTATATAGCATTACCTTGTAGCGAATTGACAGAGGCTGGTTACGCAAATATTAGCATAATTTTACGACGTGGTGTAAACTTAGAGGGCTTTGTGAAACGGCCTTAATGGTGATGACATAGGAGGTCGTAGCGCAAAGAGGCTTTCGTGAAACGGCACCCTGACACATACCCAACTTCTGCCCCGATTATGTTTATAAGTTTGACAGCACCATACCCTTGCTCGTGGGTCTCACCAAGGTGATCAACGTCTAAGACCAAAATTTCTAATAATGTTTGCAAACACACACATGCCAGACTGTTCAATTGCTCTGCAAAAAATTGTCATTTTCTCAACCATCCAGAAATCCCCACTGTCAGACCCGACTGTAAATAAACCCCACGTGTAGTGCTATTTATAGATCTGTGACCCGGAAGAGGTCTATTTCAAGATGGCGGCGAGGAGGAAGGCTGGAAGTGAACGACATTAAATTTGCTTGTTTAATCAAATACAGGTTTGCGTAAGTTCAGTTTCACAATTCAAGTTGACGATTTGTTAACTGCTATCCTTTCATCAGCTTAAAGCTGGAGCTAAACTGATTTAATAGTACCGTTATTTATGAACCAGTTAATTTCCATCATATCAGCTGTCCGAGTGTCCGACTGACGGATCGGGTGTTTACAGTTTAGATAGCTGTATCTACGACTCTGTTCAGCCGCTAAACAGAAGGAGAGTGTTAGCCTAGTAGCTGATGTGTGTCATAGAGGTGTACTACCTGGGCCCTTGAATGTTTGTCCTCGATGTTTTGTATGAGTTTTCTATTGGGTGCAGTAACCAGTAACTGTTGGTATGAAACGCGAGGATACTTGTGGTGTCGGCTACCGGCAGAAAGGGGTAGATATATATGAAATATTTATAAAATTTCTATTTATTTCCAACTTACATCGGGCATTACTTCAGGCTTTCCTCCCACATGAAGCTGACACGCCCCAATAACTGGAATACTGTTAAATTGGTTGGTTGGTTGTTTAACGCCGCACTCAGCGATATGACGGCGGTCTGTAAATAATCGAGCCTGGACCAGACATTCCAGTGATTAATATCATGAGCAGCGATCCATGTAATTGGGATCGATGACATGCATCAACCAAGTCAGCGATCCTGACCATCCGATCCTGTTAGGCGCCTTTTACGACAAGCATGGGTTGCTGAAGATCTATTCTGCCCCGGAATCGTAACGGGTCGGAATACTGCTAAAAGCAGCGTTAAACCCAACTCACTCACTCACTCCTATAGAGATGTCCTCAGATATTAAGATACTGAGGTATCAGTTTTGATGAGATTGCTCCCATGTGCACCCAATGACATGAACATAATGCTAATTTGATTAATAAATGCACTTATTTTAAAAAAGTACCTTTGTATTCAATTATTGAAATTGACATGTTAAAATAACTTATATGTTGACTTTGCAGCGTAAAAAAAATAATTAAAATTCAATTGATTGAGTTGGCGTCTTTCATATTGTGACAATCATGAAATCTGATTTTGCAGATCACCATGGCAATGATGGATGATGTTGATTTCCTCATCTCACACATTCGAAACTCCTTCATCACGAGTGACGACACCGGCATGTGTGAGCTGATCATAGAAATGGATGAGGCGGAGAGGGTGGACACACGGACACAGTCATTCAGCACATACGCTCACTGGTAAGCAGTGTTGGAAAATACCAGGGCTGTGTGATATCACCCACATCATGCAGGGATACAACTTGACTTTGATCAAGTGCCAAGGCAGGAGGTGGGGGTGTGTGTGTGTGTGTGTGTGTGTGTGTGTGGGGGGGGGGGGGGGTCGGCGTCACCACCTCAATGAAATGGAACTGTTTAAGAAAGATGATATCTAATTGGATCTGACACCTTGCATCCTTGAGTTTGATTTGGCTGTCAGAATGTGATCAGAAGTGAACTAACATGATCTCCTTTAGAGAGGGGCACGGGTAGCCCAGTCGTCTGAGGCAACGTGATTTGCTGTGCAGAGTTTCGTCCCTTGGGCGCGCCAGAAACCTATGATTGTGGGTTCAAATCCCGGTTTGCCCCGATTATGTTTCTAGGTTTGTCAGCGCCATACCCGTGCTCTTGGGTTTCACCGATGTGGTAAACGTCTAAGACCTGCATCACATTTGGGCTTTCCTCCCACGCTGACACACCGTGACATAACTGCAATTGTTTAAAAGCAGCTTTAAACCCAACTCACTCACTCAGTCCTTTAGAGAGTTGGTCAGATTCAGTCCGAGAGCAGTTTCAAATCTGAACCAAAGACATTTTTCGATAATACTGATCCAGACTTGAACATGAACTGTCGAACAACTTATCCAGATGCACTGATGCAGTGGGTGTGTACTGTGTTTATATCATGTATATAGGGTAGCTCTTTCAGATATCATCTTCACGAGGCAAGGGAGTAACTGACTGTAAAAGTCAAATTTCCACCCTTGCCGAACTAGGCTGGAATTTCTGGGCTTGATTGTCGTGATTGTAGCGCCACCAGTGGCTATTACCAGTTATGTCCCTTTTAACCCTCTCCTTTGGACCAATCACATCCAACCTTTCGTAACCAAATTGCGGCGCTCAGTCAGATTTCGATTTCACTGCGAGATTTTGATTGGACTATGCATAGACTCGTTAGTCCAGCCAAAATGTTACTCCATAATACCAGCCTAGTTCGGCATGGGTGGAAACTGGACTCTAAGTCAGTTAACTCCCTTGCCTAGGGAAGATGGGTGTAGCCTTGTGCTTAATGTGTTCACCAATCACGATTCCCAACAATGGTACAATGGGTGAAGCCCATTTCTGGTGTCATCTGGTGATATTGCTGGAATATTGTTGAAAGCGGTGTAAAACCATACTCACCCACTGTCTTAACATGATCTGGGATGTGCTAGGATTTTTCAAATAATGCAAGGAAACCTACTCAAATTAGCAGTACTGTTGCAATACTATTTCAATCAGTGTTACCGGTTCAGAAACCCTGCCACCCTGTGATATCAGCGAAATCAGCTCAAGTGAGTGAGTGAGTTGGGTTTTACACGGCTAGTTCCCCATATTACTGAAGGGGAACACCAGTATCTGGCTTCAAACATTTTACCCTTCTGGGGTATCGAACCTGGGTCTTTGATGTGATGAACAATGCTTTAACTACCACCACAACCCCTCAACTACAGCTCACATACCACCCTGAGCATGACTTTGAACCTCGACTCGATTTCTGAATTTGTTTGGTTTCACTAGTCTGCAAATTGATCAACTACAGAGTGGCTATGTATGTGATGGTGAAAGTAGTAGTCCACCAGGCAGTGTCACCTGTCCTTGTGCTTGTCAGACTTGTGTATTGATATCAGTTTCAAACCCTGGTCACTCTGGTTCAGGTGGAGCCTATCTGTGTCAGTCTGTTGTGGTCTAATCTTGTCGTGTCTGAACATATCTGTGTCAGTCTGTTGTGGTCTAATCTTGCTGTGTCTGGACGTATCTGTGTTAGTCTGTTGTGGTCTAATCTTGTTGTGTCTGAACATATCTGTGTCAGTCTGTTGTGGTCTAATCTTGTCGTGTCTGGACGTATCTGTGTTAGTCTGTTGTGGTCTAATCTTGTTGTGTCTGAACATATCTGTGTCAGTCTGTTGTGGTCTAATCTTGTCGTGTCTGGACGTATCTGTGTCAGTCTGTTGTGGTCTAATCTTGTCGTGTCTGAACATATCTGTGTCAGTCTGTTGTGGTCTAATCTTGTCGTGTCTGGACGTATCTGTGTCAGTCTGTTGTGGTCTAATCTTGTCGTGTCTGAACATATCTGTGTCAGTCTGTTGTGGTCTAATCTTGTCGTGTCTGGACGTATCTGTGTCAGTCTGTTGTGGTCTAATCTTGTCGTGTCTGGACGTATCTGTGTCAGTCTGTTGTGGTCTAATCTTGTCGTGTCTGGACGTATCTGTGTTAGTCTGTTGTGGTCTAATCTTGTCGTGTCTGAACATATCTGTGTCAGTCTGTTGTGGTCTAATCTTGTCATGTCTGGACGTATCTGTGTCAGTCTGTTGTGGTCTAATCTTGTCGTGTCTGGACGTATCTGTGTCAGTCTGTTGTGGTCTAATCTTGTCGTGTCTGAACATATCTGTGTCAGTCTGTTGTGGTCTAATCTTGTCGTGTCTGGACGTATCTGTGTCAGTCTGTTGTGGTCTAATCTTGTCGTGTCTGAACATATCTGTGTCAGTCTGTTGTGGTCTAATCTTGTCGTGTCTGGACGTATCTGTGTTAGTCTGTTGTGGTCTAATCTTGTCGTGTCTGAACATATCTGTGTCAGTCTGTTGTGGTCTAATCTTGTCGTGTCTGGACGTATCTGTGTCAGTCTGTTGTGGTCTAATCTTGTCGTGTCTGGACGTATCTCTGTCAGTCTGTTGTGGTCTAATCTTGCTGTGTCTGAATGTATCTGTGTCAGTCTGTTGTGGTCTAACCTTGCTGTGTCTGGACATATCTGTGTTAGTCTTGCTGTGTCTGAACTTATATGTGTTAGTCTGTTGTGGTCTAATCTTGTCGTGTCTGAACATATCTGTCAGTCTGTTGTGGTCTAATCTTGCTGTGTCTGGACGTATCTGTGTTAGTCTGTTGTGGTCTAATATTGCTGTGTCTGAACATATCTGTGTTAGTCTGTTGTGGTCTAATCTTGCTGTGTCTGAACATATCTGTGTGAATCTGTTGTGGTCTAATCTTGCTGTGTCTGAACATATCTGTGTTAGTCTGTTGTGGTCTAATCTTGCTGTGTCTGAACGTATCTGTGTGAATCTGTTGTGGTCTAATCTTGCTGTGTCTGAACATATCTGTGTTAGTCTGTTGTGGTCTAATCTTGCTGTGTCTGAACATATCTGTGTGAATCTGTTGTGGTCTAATCTTGCTGTGTCTGAACATATCTGTGTTAGTCTGTTGTGGTCTAATCTTGTCGTGTCTGAACATATCTGTGTGAATCTGTTGTGGTCTAATCTTGCTGTGTCTGGACGTATCTGTGTTGGTCTGTTGTGGTCTAATCTTGTCGTGTCTGAACATATCTGTGTTAGTCTGTTGTGGTCTAATCTTGCTGTGTCTGAACATATCTGTGTGAATCTTTTGTGGTCTAATCTTGCTGTGTGCTGCAGGAACAAGTGTGATTCCCCTCCGAGCCCGGTGGACAGTGGTTTGGACACTTCTGATGAGCTGTCCCACTCCTATGACATTCTGCCTGACATGGACTATGGTAAGTACTCACAGCTAGTTGCTTCTTGGACTTTAAAAAAATTGAATAATGAAAAGTGGAAACAAAATAATACCAGGAATGAACTACCGGTATATAAATTTGTTTCTGTTTTTCAAAACTAAAATTGTGCAAGGCAGGCAAGGCTTACTAACACTGTTCACATGTCAACATTTTGAAGAACAAAGAGTGTGAAATGTCTTTTGGGTTATTTTTAATCTACCAACCAGGATCTTTCACAGGGAAAAGCTGTAACACTGAGTAGTATGAAAGTCATATTTTTGTAACAGTCAACACTGGTCAATATTCAGTCAATTTGTAACAAGGCTCAGACCAGGTCAACAAACAAGGGTTGTCCATGGAACTTCCCAAACTGGCCATGTTGTAATTTACAGCTGATTAGTAATGTTCCCATTAGTTCCCATTAGTTCTCATTAGTTCTCATTAGTTCTCATTAGCCAGGCAAGGCAGTGGTTAACAACACGAGCAACAATCTACATTGTCGGTTGTGGTGAATCACTGCATGATTGCTGGTCTGGCATAAAAAAATAATTTACTCACTCACCCAACATCGTCACACAGGTCACAATCAGCCTGCGACATTACCAGTCTGTGCCATAACCTTTGAGTCCACTGGTCCAAACTCCAAACTCATCCCAATTTATAATTTTCAACAGACTTCTGTGTTAAAAAACAATTTTACGAGAGTTTAATCATGTTAATGGCTCTTACAAAATCTTTCTACATTTGGGCTTCGGACAAGTGGCTAAACATGTAAACTTCTCAGATTGTATTACTGAGAGTAGCGGTCGGTTTCTCTCTTCTGTGGAGGTAATTGTGGGCTGTGTGGTTGCAGGTGCCCACCGGCGCCGCTCCAACACGGCCCAGCGCCTGGAGCGCCTGAAGAAGGAGAAGCGGAACCAGTGTAAGGTGAAGACGGTGTCCTGGAAGGATGCACAGACCAACTACTCAGGTGAAGACATTACATTACAAGTCAGGGCCGTCACTGTGAAAACCATGCATGGATGCCATTATTTAGCACCAGGTTTACATAAAGAAATTCCAAAAGTGGAATTTAAAATATTCATTATAAAAAAAAAATCTTTAATACTTATGTTAGTTTTACATGATCATGGTTTTTACCTTGCATTTACTTTTTTTTATTTTTCTGTAAATTGACGAAAATTAGGATTTGATAATAATCATAATTTTGGACATAGTTTCAAATCCTGGATAAGCCCCTGTGGATGATTCCTATCGGAATGGCTGTTTATATTTCAGTGTCAGCAATGGGAGAACATTGTTTGAACGCCACTATGGGTGACAAGCAAGGGTTGTATAGTTTCCAAAAATATTGTCATACTATTGCAATACAAGGGAATCTGTCTGAACTAAATTTATTTGTGTGGAATCGAAAGTTAAGACAATGGTCCAGATTAGTGAGATTTAGCAGAGTTGAATGCCTTTTTCTTTTTGACTGACTTTCAAATCTATTAACATGATAAACTGAAAAAAAATAAGTGTAGCCAAATTATCAAAGCCACCCATGGACAAATGTAAGGATTTCAGGATGGTTCTCATGTTAATGTTGGACGACATTGTGTTAACATCTGTTCCTGTGTCAGCTGAGGAAAAGGGGTACCTGTTTGAGAAGAAGGAGGTGCCTCCAGTCACAGTGAAGGAGTCGACAAGGAAGGGCAGCTTCCTCTCTCAACAGCTGAATACTCATGGAATGAAGGGAGATAACCCATTCACAGAATATGCAAAGTTTGATGGAAGGGTAGGTGTTTTGTGTTGATTAATATGTGTGAAAAGACTATATCTTTTGTTAATCTGAATTGTGATGTTCTTAGAGAGAATTCATATCAATTCATTGATATTTATCCTATGTTGGTCAATGGTTACACTACAAGTCGCTAATGTTTGCAATTCTTTCTGACGATGCACACATTCCTTTGACTTGCATATCTTTGAGTAAAAATGAAGTGAGTGAGTTGAGTTTAACACCGCTTTTAACAGTATTCCAGTTATATCACGGCATGTCAGCTTAATGTGGGATGAAAGCCCGAAGTGATGCAGGTCTCAGACATTTACCACTTCGGTGAAACCTACAGGCACGGGTATGGTGCTGACAAACCTAGAAACATAATCGAGGCGAACTGGGATTCGAACCCACAATCATAGGTTTCTGGCGTGCCCAAGGGACGCAACTCTGCACAACGAATTGCAGCGCCTTAGACGACTTGGCCACCCGTGCCGCCTGTAAAGATGAAGCTTCAGTCAACGTCAGTGTACACGTGATCTCTTTGTTTGACACATGTATCTAAATAGTTTTTGCCCGGGGCTGTGGTAAAACAATTCCCTATCAGATATCTTGTTCTCAACTCTTGAGACCTTCAGTGGGTACCCTGGTAGGGTCGCGAAATATGGGTCGGGTACCGTGGTAGTAAATTGGGACTCGTCCCAGCCCTAGTTGCTTTCGTTGTCTAGGATGAAATTCCAGTAGATAAGGAGATTTTGTGTAACACTGATTGTTTACCTCGTCATTTAGCTGGAATATTGCTGTCTGTGGTGTTACACAGTAAACAAAAAAGAAAAACTCAACCCCAGATAATTTTTCACAGATCTGCAGAATTCTGCAGATTTCGTTACATCAAAGGTAATTTTTGTGATACCTGCGATTACAATATACACACAAGTGATATGGCGCCCCAGACCCCTGAGACCGCCTCCGTGGTCTTGTGGTAGAACGTCCGCCAAGAGAGCGGTTCGAGCCCCTGTCGCGTCATACCAAAAGACGTTAAAAGATGGTACTTGTTACCCTGTCTGCGCCCGACATTAAGGGGCTAATAAAACAAGGACTGGTCGGCTCGGAGTCAGTATACTGTGTCTGAGTGGGATATTCATGTTAAACTGCAGCATGGTATCTCAGTGAGCTAGCACTATAAATCGGCATCAGCCCGGACTAGTACAAGCAGCCACACAAACACACACACGTACATGCACGTCGCTGTATAAGTGCAATAATCTTGGACGCGAAAATTAAACCCCATTTCACCATCACCAGACCCCTGACTAACTTTCAGTGTGTTTTTAAGAAAAAGACATTCTCAACTCCTGTAAACGGTTAAAACCACTGCAATTATGAAGCAGAAATTTTGAGTGTCTTAAAGGCATTTAGAAGTGATACACATCAGGAAAGGAAATTGGGAAGGTCGACTTCTTTGTTATGAGGAACAAAATGTTTTGGAGTATATACTCACTCCTTCAGGTGATGAAGGAGTAAGTATATGTTCTGAAATGTTGTGTTCCTCATAACAAATAACTTGACATCCATCAATTCTCTTTCTCAGAAATTTTGAGTACAGTAAAACCCCTTTTGTTCTAGGTTTGTTAGCCTGTAAATACTTCTTTTAGGTGGTGTCTATGTCATATACATGTTGCTGTAGTTAAACCTGATTACATCACAACAGCTAGTTACTATAGTCAGTTGAATGTCAGGGAAGTTGTAACACTATGAGCATAGAATAGGTCCCAAGCAACATTTAACTTAATGTACCTGTCGACCCGTGAAGATCCAGGGTAGAATAGGTCTTCAGCAACCCATGCTTGCCGTAAGAGGCGACTATGCTTGTCGTAAGAGGCAACTAACGGGATCTGGGGGTCATACTCGCTTACTTGGTTGATGCATGTCATCAATCCCAATTGCGTGGATCGATGCTCATGATATTAATCACTGGATCGTCTAGTCCAGACTCGATTATTTACAGACCGTCGTCATATAGCTGGAATATTGCTGAGTGCGGCGTTAAACAACAAACTAACCAACTAATGTACCAGTCCTTCTTTTAGCCCCTTAATGCCGAGAGCGCCAGGCTGGGTAACAACAAATACCATCTTTACGTCTTTTGGTATGACACAGCCAGGGATCAAACCTGCAACCTTCTGTTCTCCAGACAGACGCTCAATCCACTTAACCAGAGAGGCAGTCACCAGTAGTTAGTGAGTGAGTTGTGTTTTAGGCCGCTTTCAACAGTATTCCAGTTATATAGCGGCGTGTCAGCTTAATGTGGGAGGAAAGCCCGAGTGATGCAGGTCTCAGACGTTTACCACTTCGGTGAAACCCACGAGCACGGCTATGGTGCTGACAAACCTAGAAACATAATTGGGGCGAACCGGGATTCGAACCCACAATCATAGGTTTCTGGCGTGCCCAAGGGACGCGAATCGCGGCGCCTTAGACGACTGGGCCACCCTTGCCCCCCAGTCACCAGTAAATGAGATGTAATGGAATAGTAATATATCAAGGATACATTCTTACTCAACTGACATTTTAAAAATTTCAGGCCAGTGCAGGTATTGCAACAAAGAAAATCGACATTTTCCTTACGATGGCACCCGCAGAGAGTCGAGCCTATCCAATGCCGGTGGTTGTCGTGGCAACAGCAAAAGTGGAGGAACTGATTGGTCTGATTTGCTGGCAGTACATGCATGAGGCACGAGAACCTAGGATGATGTGAGAGCTTACTTTGTCTTGTTTGTTTGGGGTGAAAACAATTCTGGAATATTACTGACATGACTGTTGGGCAGTGGTGATTTGGATCCTCTCCCTCGGTCAGATAATATTGAGATTTCTCTTTAACACTAACAGCTTCATGAATAGAAATATTTTTTCTGTTGCAAGACCTTCAGCTTACTGGTACAGATTCAACATCAAAATAATTTGTGTACCGGTATTCTGTAGGGCTAGGACGTTACACCAGCTGTGTGATCTGATACGTATCACGATACCATGCTCACAATCTGATACATATCACAATTCTTGCATGTGCTCTTATCTGTGGTGTTTAAGCCATCAGAAATAAGACTATGGCCAAATACCTAGCACACTGATGATTTTCAGTTTGCAGTGTCAAGTATGGCACAATGGATGAAATGTTTATGTTTTCACTTATAATTTTCACTCCTAATTATCACCCGCCCCAAAGAAGTTGGCGGGGGATATTGAAATAGGTTCCATCCGTCCATGCGTCTGTGTTTGTGGGTGTCCCGAAATCGTTTCCGGAGCATAACTCATAAACCATTAAATTTTTCTGTACAAAACTTTGCATGTCTGTCAGACTCATGCTTAACTGGTGCCTTTTGCTATTTAGGAATTTTAGAATTTTTTATTTTTTTACATTTACATGACAACAAGTTGGACTTAGGTTCTATAAGGGTGGTGTTCGTTTCCGGAGCGTAACTCAAAAACTGTTATACTTTCTGACAAAACTTTGCATGTCTACCAGGCACATACTGAACTGGTGCCTTTTGATATTTAGCACTTTTAGAATTTTTTATTTTTTTACGTTTCCATGGCAACAAGTTGGCCTTAGAAAACAGTAAGGGTAGGGTTCGATTACGGATGAAATTTTCCACATCTATCAGACACATGCAGAATTGTTGCCTTTTGCTATTTATGAATTTTAGAAATTTATTTAAGTAATAACACAACTCATTACAAATACAGTTACATATTCCATCATAAACCGCAGAAGGCAAAACAACACCAGTAATTACTTTTTTAGTGCTGCAATTAGGCCATTTACAAAAAGGTCCAGTGAACATAGTTCACAGGAGCTAATGCATTGCACACAACCGGACATGTCATATTGGCGGGGGATATGAGTATTTCATGCTTGTTAATGTTTGGTGTAACACTTATAAAGCAAACATTTAAGGCAAGAAACGATATTTTTCGCTTAGTGTGCAGCTGTGATCGATACTTGTATCAAGAAGTACAAAATTGTGATGCATCGATGTATCATCCTATGACTAATATTGTGACAGATGATGTAACCATGGTTACTACTTTACTTAGCCACGTTTACATTTCATTTCTGATAGTTGGTTGGTTTGTTGTTTAACGCCACACTCAGCAATATTCCAGCTATATGCATGATATGACGGCGGTCTGTAAATAATCGAATCTGGACCAGACAATCCAGTGATTAATATCATGGGCATCGATCCACGCAATTGGGATCGATGACATGCATCAACTAAGTCAGCGAGCCCGACCACCTGATCCCGTTAGTTGCTTTTTACGACAAGCATAGTCACCTTTTACGGCAAGTATGGGTTTCTAGCCATTGTATTGTTACCATGGTGCTGGTTACAGAGAGGACACCGGTGTCTACTGGCTGCACATCGCTGAGGATGACGGGGAGGTTGACATGGACTTCCCCAGCCTCGACAAAAGGGAACCCGTGTCAAAGTTTGGTTTCTCAAAGCTGGCATTAGTTGAGAGGGCACCTGCTCACCCAACACCAAAGAAGTCACTTGTAGTAACAGTGTAAGTATTGTTTGTTCATTGTTTAATGCCACACTCTGCAATATTCCAGATAATTGACGGCAGTGAGTTAATAACCCAGTCTGGACCAGACAATCTGGTAATTGACATCATGAGCAGCAATCCACGCAATTGGAATATGATGACATGCATCAACCAAGTCAGCGAGCCTGACAACCCGATCCCATTAGTAACCTCTCATGACAAGCATAGCATAGTCTCCTGTTACGGAAAGCATGGTTTGCTGAAGACCTATTCTACCTGGATCTTCAAGAGTAAGGTAAAACATCACGTGGGTAAAACAATTACTAGCAGTCACAATGTGAGTCAAATGCAGTTACTAGCAGTCACAATGTGAGTCAAATGCAGTTACTAGCAGTCACAATGTGAGTCAAATGCAGTTACTAGCAGTCACAATGTGAGTCAAATGCAGTTACTAGCAGTCACAATGTGAGTCAAATGCAGTTACTAGTAGCCACAATGTGAGTCAAATGCAGTTACTAGTATCCACAATGTGAGTAACACAAGCAGACATTTGGATGATATATTGCAATAAAGGGAGATAATCAAGACTCTGTTGTCTTCCATCATAGGTGTATTTTTGTCTCAACCAACACAATACAGTATTGACAGCATGTACAGTAAACAAGAGATATTAATCAAATTGCAAGTGAATCCGTAGCATTTTAATTGCTGACCAAGCAATTAGTGGAGAGTTCATGTTTCTATTAACGAACAATTAGGCCACGCCTACTAATGAATTACTGTTTTCTGATTTATCAAAATGATAATAGAATAGGTGGTGCTTGTGTTGCATTATTGTGCTGAATGATGTCACTGGTTGTTTCCCATAGTCTACAATGTGTGTTAATGATTAAATAAGCAGTCTTGAAGTTATTATTGTTGACATATTTGTTTTTTAAGAATTTACTTCAATATGTTTGGTGTTTTATGGTTATAGACTTAAAAACAGTGTGCACACTTTTTGTAAATCTCTGATGCAGATTTGCACCGTATGCACACCAGTTTTTACGTTAAACACATGTACCAAAACATAAGTATTGAAGTCATGTCCCAAGTATTCAGCATATTGTGCAATATTGAAGTCATGTCCCAAGTATTCAGCATATTGTGCAATATTGAAGTCATGTCCCAAGTATTCAGCATATTTTGCAATATTGAAGTCATGTCCCAAGTATTCAGCATATTTTGCAATATTGAAGTCATGTCCCAAGTATTCAGCATATTTTGCAATATTGAAGTCAAATCTCAAGTATTACATTGTATTCAGCATGTTTCGCATTATTGAAGTCAATTTTCAAGTATTCAGCATGTTTCACAATATTGAAGTCAATTCTCAAGTATTCAGCATGTTTTGCAATATTGAAGTCAATTCTCAAGTATTCAGCATGTTTCGCAATATTGAAGTCAAATCTCAAGTATTCAGCATGTTTAGCAACACTGAAGTCAATTCTCAAGTATTCAGCATGTTTTGTGTGGGTAACGTTTGCTTCATACCGCATCAGATATGTTGTAGAAAGTGCAGTATAGTTATGTAGGTGATGTGTTATCATTACACATACTGTAATACCGCATCAGATATGTTGTAGAAAGTGCAGTATAGTTATGTAGGTGATGTGTTATCATTACAAATACTGTAAATCAGAAAGGTTTTGCCAGCAGGAAAGTACTGCAACAACAGCCAGTGGCACACACTCGTAATACTTTCATGACACAGTTATATTTGCAGTCCAACAATTAACACAAAGCGGAAGGAGGCAGATTTCTCTTAGTCACTTCCACACATTGTCAACCAGCCAGTGCATGATTAAGTACATAACCCCTCACACCCTGTTTCCTTGATGATACATTGTCAACCAGCCAGTGCATGATTAAGTACATAACCCCTCACATCCTGTTTCCTTGATGATACATTGTCAACCAGCCAGTGCATGATTAAGTACATAACCCCTCACATCCTGTTTCCTTGATGATACATTGTCAACCAGCCAGTGCATGATTAAGTACATAACCCCTCACATCCTGTTTCCTTGATGATACATTGTCAACCAGCCAGTGCATGATTAAGTACATAACCCCTCACATCCTGTTTCCTTGATGACACATTGTCAACCAGCCAGTGCATGATTAAGTACATAACCCCTCACATCCTGTTTCCTTGATGACACATTGTCAACCAGCCAGTGAATGATTAAGTACATAACCCCTCACATCCTGTTTCCTTGATGACACATTGTCAACCAGCCAGTGCATGATTAAGTACATAACCCCTCACATCCTGTTTCCTTGATGACACATTGTCAACCAGCCAGTGCATGATTAAGTACATAACCCCTCACATCCTGTTTCCTTGATGACACATTGTCAACCAGCCAGTGCATGATTAAGTACATAACCCCTCACATCCTGTTTCCTTGATGACACATTGTCAACCAGCCAGTGCATGATTAAGTACATAACCCCTCACATCCTGTTTCCTTGATGACACATTGTCAACCAGCCAGTGCATGATTAAGTGAATAACCCCTCACATCCTGTTTCCTTGATGACACATTGTCAACCAGCCAGTGCATGATTAAGTACATAACCCCTCACATCCTGTTTCCTTGATGACACATTGTCAACCAGCCAGTGCATGATTAAGTACATAACCCCTCACATCCTGTTTCCTTGATGACACATTGTCAACCAGCCAGTGCATGATTAAGTACATAACCCCTCACATCCTGTTTCCTTGATGACACATTGTCAACCAGCCAGTGCATGATTAAGTACATAACCCCTCACATCCTGTTTCCTTGATGACACATTGTCAACCAGCCAGTGCATGATTAAGTACATAACCCCTCACATCCTGTTTCCTTGATGACACATTGTCAACCAGCCAGTGCATGATTAAGTGAATAACCCCTCACATCCTGTTTCCTTGATGACACATTGTCAACCAGCCAGTGCATGATTAAGTACATAACCCCTCACATCCTGTTTCCTTGATGACACATTGTCAACCAGCCAGTGCATGATTAAGTACAAAACCCCTCACATCCTGTTTCCTTGATGACACATTGTCAACCAGCCAGTGCATGATTAAGTACATAACCCCTCACATCCTGTTTCCTTGATGACACATTGTCAACCAGCCAGTGCATGATTAAGTACATAACCCCTCACATCCTGTTTCCTTGATGACACATTGTCAACCAGCCAGTGCATGATTAAGTACATAACCCCTCACATCCTGTTTCCTTGATGACACATTGTCAACCAGCCAGTGCATGATTAAGTACATAACCCCTCACATCCTGTTTCCTTGATGACACATTGTCACTCAGTGTCAAAAGTTCTGTATCCTGCCACGTCTTGTCAAATTGCTTACATCACTCTGAGTGAGTGAGTGAGTATGGTTTTACACCGCTTTTAGCAATATTCCAGCAAAAGCACAGCGGGGACACCAGAAATGGGCTTCACACATTGTACCCATGTCGGGAATCGAATCCGGGTCTTCGGCGTGACAAGCGAACACTTTAACCACTAGGCTACCCGACCGCCCCTACATCACTCTGAGCAGTCCAGACATAATGTTAGATATACACACTACACCAACCTTCCTCGTCAAGTACAACACATGCAGGAGCAGTCGGGTAGCCCAGTGGTTAAAGCGTTCACTCGCCACCCTGAAGACCCGGGTTCGATTCCCACATGGGTACAATGTGTGAAGCCCATTTCTGGTGTCCCCTGCTGTGATATTGCTGGAATATTGCTAAAAGCGGCGTAAAACCATACTCACTCACTCACTACAACACATGCATCTATAGTGAAAATATCACTGACTGACCCTGAGCCAACTTTTCATCACGCCACTTACTTCTCATAAAACATAACATTTGCAGAAGTATTGCTTTGATCTTCGGTAATCTCATCAACAGGATGTCGCAAAACATCCACTCACAATAATATCATGGCGCATAACTTTCCAGATTCACAGTATTTGAATTTACATTAAGTCGTGTGATGAATTGATAAAAATCCAAATTACATTACCATATTTGACATAATAAGCGCCCAGGGCGCTCTCAAAATTAGAAATAGGGGGCTATTTTTAGAATATTATTTTGGTGAAAAACAACAGAGCTGAAAGATCGTAAATTTCGTGGTTTAGGCTGACAGCCTGAAATGTTTATATACGACAGAAATATTTTTCCAGAATTTCACATAATTGAGGATGCATACTTAATTAACACACATATTATACACGAATAAATTAGTCTTGTGTGCATTGATCAATCGGAAGGGGTGCTAATTGGGATTGTTCACGAGCCAATATATTAGCAAATATTGCTGTGGACACTTATTAGAGCGGGGCGCTTACTATGTCGAATACGGTAAGTCGTGTTATGATTTTATTAAAATCTAAATTTAGGTTGTCGACACAATAAAGTGTTATTGACAACTATGCTGAGAAGCCCACATGTATGACAGTCCATGTTTCGTATGTTTGTAGAAATGTTCCGAGTCGAGGGTTCAACAAGTTCCAGGTCGACAACATCAACATTCCTATGAAAGACATCCTCAACAAAGTCCTCAAGCGGCGCAAAATCAAAGTGAAGCCGGGTAGGGGAATATTGTGTCGTATCCACTGCGAGTGGATGGTTATATTATCCACTGTGTGTTCCATTTGGTGCGGGAAGTATATCTGTTTGAAACATTCAGTGTAATTCCATTCCCAATGTTGCATGCTAGACTTAACTGACATTTCTGTTCAAGGTCGCCAATTTCCAATTTTCTTCATTCAGTCCACACTCCGTTGCAGTGGTGACTCAGCATAACACCACTGCCACAGGCTAATTTGCATATCTGCATATCACGTGACCGGACTTTTCTCTTGTTTGTAAACAAACACGCTTTTTCATAAATCAGTATAGAACGGACTATTGCAAGTATTTGGTATATGCTTTAGATATTGTTTTGCATAATTATATAGATATGCTACCACAACTGCGACAGTGAGTTGCATGACAATATATATTTATACATCAAAGTGACCGTATCGCTAGCTCTCCATAGGGCTTGGATGACAGCATGTGGAGCCGTACAACCAATGTAAACAAACGATAACTACACAAAAGCAAGTAGATTGTCACGTTTTAGGATACTTTCTAAATGAACTGTAACCATTCTTTGACATTTGTTTATCACAATGTGAAAGCATGTCAAAAATGAAACGGATGAACAGCATATGCAATATTGTGAAAGGACTGTGAAATCTGTGACGAATCATCACATGGCGCTGGCCTGTGGCAGATGTACTATGCTGGCTGGCTGCCGGCCGCAAGGAACTCTGGGTAGGAGAGTGCATTCAGTCGCTAAGTTGTGTTTTCCATCTCGGAAATCACCATCTGTAGAAATGCTGCAGGTTTCAGAACATTGTCATTGTTAAGATCAATGCTCCAGATAAGCTGCGTATCTGCATAAAAAGTAAAATGAAATACAAGCGTATCAAATACGGGACTAACATTACAGATAGGCTTCAAAAATAAAACTTGTGTGTATCATCAAAATATTATGAAGTAACCCTGCGTATTCGATTAGCAAATCAGCAACTTATTTTGAAATTATAAATGGGCATTCAGTCAACCTTGCCAAACTCCACGATGACAGTTACATCATGATCATTTGCCATCACACTTTCTTGTGGAAGTATCGTGGTAATTTTTAGTCCTATAAAGCTCTCGAACCCACACACTAGTTTGCAGGGATGAATAGTTTTTTTAAATATTTAACTTAAATACCCACATGTGTAAAAACTAGCGGGTAACAGAAACTTGAATACCCAGATAGAATTACTGATACCCAATGATTATAAAATGCATGGGAACTCACATATGGATAGACAGCAACATGTCATGCGTTTGATATCCCCCACAACGCGTTCTGCTGGAGGGGGTGTTAAAATGGACACAGTCTGTTGGCGCCTCCGTGCAGATCTTGAAAACTGTACAATATTTCTTCACCAAACCTGGTACATGTATGGGTCTAGTGGTGTAGTGGTGCCTTTTGATGTTTTGGGGATTTTGGTGAATAATATTTTTTTAGTTTCCATGGCAACAGCTTTGACTTAGACTGACAATGGCGGTAGTGCTCATTTCCAGGGCAGATCTTGAAAACGTAACAATTTTTCTTTACCAAACTTGGCAGATAGATAGGTCTAGTTGTGAACTGGTGCCTTTTGATGGTTTGAGATTTTTTCAATAAATATTTTTTTAGTTTCCATGGCAACAAGTTTCATACATGCACCTCATCAAAAGTATCGGGCCTCCAAATGTAAAGTGTAATTGTGAGTTGATTTTTAATGTAGAGATTTTCAAACGATACCGTGTGTAGACACATCATCTGCACTCAGACTGGTAGCCACATTAACTGCCCAACCTTGTGGGTGTGTTTATGCAAGCTGCGGGCACACCTAAGGGTTCTCTATAGAGAAATTCATGTTTAATGATAGAATGTTCTACGTCTTTAGGGGCAGTCAGGTAGCCTAGTGGTTAAAGCGTGCGCTCGTCACGCAGAAGACCCGGGTTCAATTCCCGACATGGGTACAATGTGTGAAGCCCATTTCTGGTGTCCCCTGCCGTGATATTGCTGGAATATTGCTAAAAGCGGCGTAAAACCATACTCACTTTCTCACTCACTCACTCTATTAATCCCCAATTACAGTCCTCGTAATCACTGGCGAATAAAGTTTTTACTTTGCACATGCTTATTTTTCTACTATTTATAAAATCAATGTCTTGCTTTCGAGGTTCTCCTTACCCATATCTTTTCTGATTTCCATGATTGTCAAAAAAAAATTGTGGCGCGATAGTTTTGATGAGGTGTACATTTATTCTTGACAAGTAATTACTAGGGCTGGCTATCAATATAGATCATAGAGATTGATAATCGCTAACTAAATATCAATCAATTATATATTAATATCGGAAAAGGAACTTTAAGCAAATAAACAAGAAATCAATATATTTCACACCACTTGTGAGCCGTGACACATTTATGAATGGATTACTTTGTGGACATTGAGATATAACAAAAACTGTTGTTTTATGTCTTTGACAATTGACATTATTGACAATGACAAGTCTGTTTCGGTAAATCTAATCTTTATTTCATCACAATAGTTTATGTGAGTTATTATCAACGACAACAGTTTCATATCGCTAATCGTTAGAATTTCTTCCCATCGGCGATAATTCTGATTATCTATCTTTTTAACCAGCCCTAGTATTTACAATTGCGGGGGATACTTATGACTTAGTCCTGTTGATTGTTGTAGGGCTGAGTTACTACCTAGAGAAGCAGAACGAGCCAGGCTCTGTTATTGACCTTGATGACTTAGTCCTGTTGTTTGTTGTAGGGCTGAGTTACTACCTAGAGAAGCAGAACGAGCCAGGGTCTGTCATTGACCTTGATGACTTAGTCCTGTTGTTTGTTGTAGGGCTGAGTTACTACCTAGAGAAGCAGAACGAGCCAGGCTCTGTTATTGACCTTGATGACTTTGTCCTGTTGTTTGTTGTAGGGCTGAGTTACTACCTAGAGAAGCAGAACGAGCCAGGGTCTGTCATTAACCTTGATGACTTTGTCCTGTTGTTTGTTGTAGGGCTGAGTTACTACCTAGAGAAGCAGAACGAGCCAGGCTCTGTCATTAACCTTGATGACTTTGTCCTGTTGTTTGTTGTAGGGCTGAGTTACTACCTAGAGAAGCAGAACGAGCCAGGGTCTGTCATTAACCTTGATGACTTTGTCCTGTTGTTTGTTGTAGGGCTGAGTTACTACCTAGAGAAGCAGAACGAGCCAGGGTCTGTCATTGACCTTGATGACTTAGTCCTGTTGTTTGTTGTAGGGCTGAGTTACTACCTAGAGAAGCAGAACGAGCCAGGGTCTGTCATTGACCTTGATGACTTAGTCCTGTTGTTTGTTGTAGGGCTGAGTTACTACCTAGAGAAGCAGAACGAGCCAGGGTCTGTTATTGACCTTGATGACTTTGTCCTGTTGTTTGTTGTAGGGCTGAGTTACTACCTAGAGAAGCAGAACGAGCCAGGGTCTGTCATTGACCTTGATGACTTAGTCCTGTTGTTTGTTGTAGGGCTGAGTTACTACCTAGAGAAGCAGAACGAGCCAGGGTCTGTTATTGACCTTGATGACTTTGTCCTGTTGTTTGTTGTAGGGCTGAGTTACTACCTAGAGAAGCAGAACGAGCCAGGGTCTGTCATTGATCTTGAGTCCAACCTGGCCGCCACTGACACCATGGAGTTTTGTCTCGTCAGAGAAAACAGTGAGTGCAATACGTATGTAATATGTAACAGGATGTAGATGTATGTCCCTGGTCTTCCACTAGTTACTGCATTTCTGCGTTACCTGATATGTCACAAACAGTCATGACATTATGAATTGAAAGGAAGAGGCAGAAATAATAAGAATGGCTACCTTTTTGGAGACCAGTGAAGATCCGTGGTAGAATAGGTCTTCAGCAACCCATGCTTACCGTAAAAAGGTGACTATGCTTGTCGTAAGAGGCGGCTAATGGGATCGGATAATCAGGCTCGCTGACTTGGTTGATGCATGTCATCAGTCCCAATTGTGTGGATCAATGCTCATGATAACAATCCGGACTTGATTATTTACAGACTGCCGTCATATAGCTGGAATATTGCTGAGTGCGGCGTTAAACAACAAACAAACAAAAAAACCTTTTTAGACCTACGTGAAGTGTCACATTTTCAGTTACAGAAAACATTATAATATTGATATAAAGAGTACACTGCAAATCATGTAATTGAGCGCTAAATTTCTCCAATTTCCTTGTCACGTGTGATCAAGTTGATCCAACAGTTACCACAATCTCCTGCCATGTATGAAGGCATCATTGTTCTTAGTAACCTCATTGAATAATCTCATTACAAAAGACCCAGGAAGATCCAGGGTAGATGCTGTGTTGACCTTGGTTGATCCTTTGTTGACCTTGGTTGATCCTGTGTTAACCGCGGTTGATCCTGTGTTGAACGCGATTGATCCTGTTTTGACCTTGGTTGATCCTTTGTTGACCGCGGTTGATCCTGTGTTGACCGCGGTTGATCCTGTGTTGACCGCGGTTGATCCTGTGTTAACTGTGGTTGATCCTGTTTTGACCATGGTTGATCCTGTGATGATCGTGGTTGATCCTGTGTTGACTGTGGTTGATCCTGTATTGACTGGTTGATCCTGTGATAATCCTGTGTTGACTGTGGTTGATCCTGTATTGACTGGTTGATCCTGTTGGATCCTGTATTGACCGTGGTTGATCCTGTGTTGACTGGTTGATCCTGTGATTATCCTGTGTTGACTGTGGTTGATCCTGTGATTATCCTGTGTTGACCGTGGTTGATCCTGTGTTGACTGGTTGATCATGTGATGATCCTGTGTTGACTGTGGTTGATCCTGTGATGATCCTGTGTTGACTGTGGTTGATCCTGTGATGATCCTGTGTTGACCGTGGTTAATCCTGTTATGATCCTGTGTTGACCGTGGTTGATCCTGTGATTATCCTGTGTTGACCTTGGTTGATCCTGTGTTGACTGTGGTCAATCCTGTGATGATCCTGTGTTGACTGTGGTTGATCCTGTGTTGACTGTTGTTGATCCTGTGTTGACCGTGGTTGATCCTGTGATTATCCTGTGTTGACTGTGGTTGATCCTGTGTTGACTGTGGTTGGTCCTGTGTTGACTGTGGTTGATCCTGTGTTGACTGTGGTTGATCCTGTGTTGACTGTGGTTGGTCCTGTGTTGACTGTGGTTGATCCTGTATTGACTTGTTGATCCATATTGACTGGTTGATCCTGTGTTGACCGTGGTTGATCCTGTGTCGACTGTGGTTGATCCTGTGATGATCCTGTGTTGACTGTGGTTGATCCTGTGTTGACTGTGGTTGGTCCTGTGTTGACTGTGGTTGATCCTGTGTTGACTGTGGTTGATCCTGTGTTGACTGTGGTTGGTCCTGTGTTGACTGTGGTTGATCCTGTGTTGACTGTGATTGATCCTGTATTGACTTGTTGATCCATATTGACTGGTTGATCCTGTGTTGACCGTGGTTGATCCTGTGTTGACTGTGATTGATCCTGTGGGATCTTGTTTTGACCGTGGTTGATGCTCTGTTGACTGTGGTTGATCCTGTGTTGACCGTGGTTGATGCTGTGATTATCCTGTGTTGACTGTGGTTGATCCTTTGTTGACTGTGGTTGATCCTGTGTTGACCGTGGTTGATCCTGTGTTGACTGTGGTTGATCCTGTATTGACTGGTTTATCCTGTGATGATCCTGTGTTGACTGTGGTTGATCCTGTGATTATCCTGTGTTGACTGTGGTTGATCCTCTGTTGACTGTGGTTGATCATGTGTTGACCGTGGTTGATCCTGTGTTGACTGTGGTTGATCCTGTATTGACTGGTTGATCCTGTGTTGACTGTGGTTGATCCTGTGTTGACCGTGGTTGATCCTGTGTTGACTGTGGTTGATCCTGTATTGACTGGTTGATCCTGTGTTGACTGTGGTTGATCCTGTGTTGACCGTGGATGATCCTGTGTTGACTGTGGTTAATCCTGTGTTGTAGGTCAGCGGGGGGACATAGAGGAGCTGTACCCGGTGGACTCCTCGGACGTGGCTGAGTCACTGACCAGTCATCAGTACAAGTCCTACATCGTCAACATGGTGCATAAGCTGAGAACCAACACAGAGGTTCAGCTAGGTAACATTATATATACATATAAACACTGACTGGGCTCCTAATTAAACAATAGATAGATGGTAACCTATTTTGAGTATACTGCAAGAGGGTGACTAAGCATAGCATTTATTAGTCATTGGTGTTGAATAAATACAAAAGACACACTACGTGAAGTTTGCCTGCAGTAAAATTCTGCATTTATTAACATCAGCAGAGCAGTCATCGTCCAAAACAACATTTCAAGGTGGTGCCAAACGTCCATATTTCTTTACATTCATATTTGAGAATGCCACACATGAGGAACTATAACCTGGGGTATTGTACAGATTTTTACCAGTGTTGGGCAGCCTCCTCATCAGTCAGTTTAAGCCAGTGGAACCACTTCAATTATTATAAACAATGACTATTCAGGGTTTCTGGTGACCATTATTTAGTTATGTTGGATGTAGGGGTGACCATTGGTCTGGGAATCACTACTGCGATAACTATTGAAATTGAAAGAAACTATTGCGATAACTATTGATATTGAAAGAAACTATTGCGATAACTATTGATATTGAAAGAAACTATTGCGATAACTATTGATATTGAAAGAAACTATTGCGATAACTATTGAATTTGAAAGAAACTATTGCGATAACTATTGAAATTGAAAGACACTATTGCGATAACTATTGAATTTGAAAGAAACTATTGTGATAACTATTGAAATTGAAAGAAACTATTGTGATAACTATTGATATTGAAAAAAACTATTGCGATAACTATTGATATTGCAAGCAACTATTGTAATAAATATCGATAGTTTTCAGTGTATCATTTCAGATGGATTTTAGAGTTGAATTAAACCTTGGAACTGAAGTTTCCTTTGAATGTGATAACCATAACAACAAAAAAGTTTGAGATATGACTGATTTGTTTTTTCTTTTCCCTAATAATTAAGGGACAGAAACTTCCACATTACCATGTGTAAATTACTGCCACTCATAACATTGCATAATCAAAAGAAAAACAAATTTGAACAGCATTCCATATATTTTATTGATATGGTAAATACAATCGAAACTATTGATATTCCTTACTGAAATCAATACTTTTGATCGGAAACGGATGTAACAATCAATTTATTGACTTTAAGTGCAACAATAGCAACATATCGATATTTCGATTTATCGTGACACCCCCAGTTGGAAGTGTCCTCTTTATCATGTTAATATGGAAGGAAAGCTAAATTCAGGACATTTACCAAATTCTATGCACCCTAGTGTCATTAAATGAGATCTTTTTTTGATACAATAACTCTTTACATGAAGGCCGACAACCTATCCAAAGAAAAGAGCTTCATGACATATCTGATTTTAATGACAGTGCTCTGCACCCGTACTCGCTGTAAGTGTAGCTCACTGCAGTTGTCTCCCTTTGTTGCCTCCAGGTGTCAGTGGTGAGAAGGTAGAAATAGACCCGGTCACCAACAAGGGCACCGGGAGGTTGTTCAAGCAGAAAGCTGTCACTTACGATGCTGACAACATTGCTGACTGCGATATAGTGGAAAATAGGTCTAACGGTAAGTATATATATCAGACCTCATACACTTAGATTAGTTACTAAGGAGCCAACTGTTTGACATTCTGGTGGAGGGAGGCCTGGGATTATTTTTGAAAAAATAATTTGTTCCAGAAATAAAAATGAAAAAAAAAAATTGTTTTCAGGTTTTGCTAGGAAAAATTATTTTTTCGCTGGACATACTAAATGTTGTGAAAAAAAATGTTGTGAAAGAATTTTATAATTGTTCATCATCGTCTTTCACAGAAACACAATTTGCATGTTAAAGCAATGACTGAAAAGATACCACCCCACCTCCAGAATAACCAATGGCAGTTACCTAAACACTCAAGTTTTGTCAGCTTGTGTCTGTTGTAGCTGCCATGTTACATGTGACTTCAAGCACTGAAAGAGACCTTTAGAGATTCTGGGATATAATGTAGATCCATAGCAACCCGACTCGTGAAGATTCCGGGGTAGAATAGATCTTCAGCAACCCATGCTTGTCGTAAAAGGCGACAAACGGGATCGGGTGGTAAGGCTTGATGACTTGGTTGATGCATGTCATCGATCCCAATTGCATGGATCGATGCCCATGATATTAATCACTGGATTGTCTGGTCCAGACTCGATTATTTATTTATTTCGTCATATAGCTGGAATATTGCTGAGTGCGGCATTAAACAACAAACCAAAACCAACCATAGCAACCCACGCTTGTGCTATTAGATGACTGAAATGAATTGGGTGGTCAGACTTGGTTGTTGTATGTAGTTGTCATATACTTGTGTGCAGCGATGTTCATGATGGCAATCACTGAATAGTGTGGTCCTGATTCGATTATTTACAAGCCACCTTCATATTGCTGGAATATTGCTGAGTGTGGCGTTAAACTTCAAACACTGGAAGTGTAATTTATAGGAGGTCCGAGATTCACGCAATGTCCCATAAGCCCTTTACGGTGTTCATGTTCAATGTGAAGTTATAAGAAATAAATTGCAACTACCAGAAACTTCACGTTAATTGAATGTCTGACCAAGTACAAACATTTGCATTTATCTTTTCCATGTCATCGATTCCAATTGCGTGGATCAATGCTCATGATATCAATCACTGGATTGTCTGGTCCAGGCTCGATTATTCACTGTACAGACCGCCGTCATATAGCCACAGTAATGCTGCGTGCGGCGTAAAACAACCAACCAACCAACCAACCAACCAACCAACCAATCATACTGTTGTCTGCAGTTTTAGTGCTAATGCTTAAATGAGCAGTTCTTATTGTTGAGTTATTTGTTTATAAGAATTGACTTCAATATGTTTTTACATGAGGGATCCATTAGGATTCTTAAATAAGTGACCCTGGCAGGCAAATTGAGAAAAATTGTTATTTGGTTCAAAATTGGGAACTTTTAAAAGTTCATATTTCTTAAACATGTAAAATTCAGAGGAAGCTTGCTTTTAGTGCAATAATATTAAATGAAGCATTAAGACCTGTTATATTTATATTACACATTATAGCATGAATTGGGAAATAAACTAGTGTCCAAAAGAAACGATACCAACTTATTTTCAAAATTGTTTTTTGCTAAGTGAATTGTCTAGTATGAAAACATGCCAATTCGTATTGCACATCCCAAACACAGCATAGTCGATAAAAAATACCGGGAACACGTGATCACTTCCGGGAAAAAACGTAAATTTCGTCAAAGTGACATTTCCCTCTCTAGCATGTTCTGCACGTGCATAAAAACTGTATAAAACGGCTGATCAGACACGTTGATATCACAGGAACAAAAAGAACACAAGATATGCCACGTTTGACAGCCATCGAGAGAGAGAGAGCCGTTGGAATGGTCCAACAAGGAGCGTCACACGTCGACGTCGCCAGAAGGTTGGGCTGCGCACGCATCACTATCACCAGGTTGATGCAGCGGTTACGTCAGACAGGTCAGACGTCAGACAGGCCCAGGAGTGGAAGACCACGAGTAACCACGCCCCGTGAAGATCGTTACATCCGGGTATTACACCTGAGGAACCGCACCGTAACAGCGACGTCCACGGCGGCTACAGCACTGGGACACAGGATCAGTCGACAGACCGTCTACAGGAGACTACGGCAGTATGGTATCCGGCCAGGTCATCCCTACCGCGGACCGCTACTGACGCCTCGACACCGGAACAACAGACTGATCTGGGCCAGGCGAGTTCGACGTTCGCAACGGCGGGACTGGGCACATGTTATGTTCTCTGATGAGAGCAGATTCCTCATCTTCAGAAACGATGGACGGCAGCTTGTATACCGACGATTTGGTGAACGTTTGGCGCCTAACTGTATCCAACAGGTCAGGCCGTTTGGAGGTGGAGGGTTAATGGTTTGGGGTGGCATATGTGGTGACGTCAAAACGATGCTTGTCGTTATTCGTGGAAACCTGAATGCACAGCGTTATCTTGATGACATCCTACGGCCTGTTGTGGTGCCCTTTATTCAGCAACAGCCTCGTGGACTCCTTTTCCAACATGACAATGCGAGGCCACACACAGCAAGATTGACACAGAACTTCCTTGCCAACGCCAACGTACAGGTTTTGCCATGGCCCGCATGTTCACCGGACATGAATCCCATCGAGCACTTATGGGACCACCTCGATCGGCAAATCGGACGTCGCCGTGTGCCTCCAGTCAACGTCCAGGACTTGGAACGATGTCTCCTCGAGGAATGGCAACGCATCACTCCCAACGTCATCAGACGTTTGATGTCATCAGTCCGTAGGCGTGTTCTGGCATGTATTGATGCTCACGGTGGACATACCCGCTACTGACTTGACTTTGAGACGTGTGGTGTGACATTTCCCGTTGTTTCTGTGATCAGTGCTCTAACGAAATGTTCATTTTTCGACCCCACCCATCTTTAAAGGCTTGTCATATTGGTTGTACAGATTTTATTGAAATGAAATTTTTGTACAGATGTTGTGAAAGGATTTCTCAAAAGCATAACACCAATCCTAAACTTCTGCATTGTTTAGTTTTTCTTTTATGTTGTTGCAAACAGGTGGTATCGTTTCTTTTGGACACTAGTTTATTTCGTTCCAAATTGGGAATTTTTATTGACATTTGCTGCAGACTTTGGGTTTAATATCTGCCTCTGTGCAGGTCTAAGTAAATCCCTGTGCATGTATTTTTGCAGGTGAAAATCGCTACATGCTACACCGAATTACCCAAAGTGTGCCCACGTTTTTATTTTTAAACCTACATAAACACAAAAATGTACTGAAGTCTCAATTAAATGTATGTTCTATTGACAAGATGTTCTGTTTGTAGGCAAGTGTGTGTTCCGGATGATGTACCAGAGTAACCATGACTACAAGCATCATGACTTCGAGGTTGAAGAGGAGGTGGCCAATGAAATTGTTCAGAAAATAAACAACATTCTTGAGCTGAGGCTCAGTCAAACACGTAAAGACTTTGTGGCAAACAGAGAGAGAAAGAGGAAGCGAGACTCACTCAGATACAGTTAACACTGGGAGTTGGACAATCCACTGACAAGCAACAACTCGTCATCTCAAAGAGGACCAGATCTAACCTTTGAGATACGTAATGTGCATTAGACAACTGATATTCTATTTGATGGACCACAGGATGGATCCAGGGATAAGTGTAGGATTTCTGAAGTGAAAACCCAGTGTGCTGTTGTACAAAACAACCTCATGACCCTGTCACACGTATAGCAGTAACGTATGAGAATTTTTGCCAAAACGCCGGCAACGCTGAAACACGCTATGGATAAGTTAGGTGTAAGTTGTATACGTTAAAAGCATGCTGGTATACGTTGTAGTATGCAGAGGCTTAAAAACATTTTTGTGCATGCACAAAATTTTCGGCTTTATACGTTAGGCATACTTTAGAGGTATGCTCTACATACGTTTATATACGCCAGATATACATTACCCATACGGCCCGTTTAAGGCACCTTTCTCCTACGATGAACGCGCTAGTCATACGCTGAACATGCCAGACATAGATGGCAAAATGCTTTTATACGATGTCATAAGTTATTATAAGTCAGTGATACGCTACTATTACGTTAGACATGCGTTACATATACGGTAAACTCTCGTTATGTATACGCTATGGATGCGCCCAAATCATGGTTTTTCGTATGACGTATGACACGCTAGGTGCAAGTTTCTCTGAAACGTTGTAGTGTGACAGGGCCATTAGTACTATGACTGTCGTAAGTCTATGATAAGGTATGGGAGTTACGATCACCTTAGCGCTAAGATCACTTTGTACAGTGACTCTTACAGGAACTGATTCCCCCACTTTTAGTGCCCGTGGGTAGCCCCACCAGATAACATCCAGAATGGACAATGGGTTGTCTTTAAAATCAAATGCTTTTTGATTTATGAACTGTGATGAAATGTTGTGTTTTAATTCTAGGCTAAGATAACTACTAAATGAATGTGGTTTGTTGAAACATATATGGGATGTCTTTGAATCTGTGATGTGTATTCTGTGAAATTAAATACAGCTATGACTATAATTAACACAGAGATGTTGTTCTTTCCCCATCCTCGACTATCCAGGGTATTATATCACAAATATATTATGATTAAAAACCCTTCACCCATTTGCCACGGTAGGTTCATTTTAGATGTGATGTCACCTTAATTTCTCCTATAAGTAATTACCACACTGCCATTAACAATGTGCAAAATGAAACTATTGCAGCAGTTGGGTCCATAACATACTGAACATATTATGTTTGGGATCATGAATATTTTTGGGGATATTTTTTGTAATTTGTGTGGTCAGTCTTTGCTACCAAAAAATATACCCAAAATTATTCAGGATCAAAAACTTTTTCTTTTCAGTATAGGGATGCAATACCCTGGATAATTGAAGATGATACCATAAAAGTTCAATACTGAGTCCCCTGGGCACACCAGAAACCTGTGATTGTGGGATCAAAATGGCAGGGGTGCTCATTTCCAGAGCAGATCCTGAAAAACGTAAAAAATATTCTTCACCACAATTCCAGGGACATAGATGACATTGTCCCCTTGCTAACTACAGTGAAACCTGCACATCACACAACTGGGGGGTAATGCCAGTTGAAAACTACAGTGAAACCCTGTTGCTAACTACAGTGAAACCTGCACATTACACAACTGTGGGATAATGCCTGTTGATAACTACAGTGAAACCTGCACATTACACAACTGTGGGATAATGCCTGTTGATGACTACAGTGAAACCTGCACATCACACAACTGTGGGATAATGCCTGTTGATGACTACAGTGAAACCTGCACATTACACAACTGTGGGATAATGCCTGTTGATAACTACAGTGAAACCCTTATGAAAAATATAAGATATTTTTTATACTGCCGACATTACACATCACTCTGAAAATGAATATTATCGAGGTTTTTTGTGACTGAAACATACATCTTCATTACAAGTTAAGCCAATCCAGGTCAAGATTATCTTTTGTCATTACCTACCAACCCAAATCAAACTTTAAGATTTTTCACTATCAAACTCCGTAAAAGAAAAAAAATATGTCTGGATTATGGGATCATGGGTGAGTAATCGTATGTCCGAGTTCCCAGCAGTGTTTGTCTTGATTTTAGATAAACAGTGTCCAGACTAACAAGGTCTCACTGTGTATGTCCTTATGTATGAAATACCCACTGATGGGATAACATCCTTCATTAACCACAGTTCTACGTCGCCATTCTGTTATGGTCTGTACCCTTGACACATTCGCAACCAAAACTTCAGTTTTGGAGGTTGCATAGCATTATCTACTGTATCCCTCTTATCTTTCTCGCTCCTGAGTGCACACCAATGTTTACAAGTATACGTCTATATTGGGGCGGTCGGATAGCCCTGTGGTTAAAGCGTTCGGTCGTCACGCCGAAGACCCGGGTTTGATTCCCGACATGGGTACAATGTGTGAAGCCCATTTCTGGTGTCCCCCGCCGTGATATTGCTGGAATATTGCTAAAAGCGGCGTAAAACCATACTCACTCACTTATACGTCTATAAATGCAAAAGCATATTGAAGTCAATTCATATGAATAAATACGTCAACAATACTAACTTCACAGACTGCTTATTTATTCATTTACACACATTAAAAAAATATATATACAAAATCAGTGACATCTTTTCTGTTTCCATTATCAGCCAATCAGAGAACAGTATTCCATTAGTGGGTGTGACTTTATTTTCGTTAGTCAATCAAATGCCACGGAATCACCTGCTGCAATACATTTACATATACTTTTCGATCGCCGAATGACGAAGGTGACGCCATGTTTGTTTGTATAAACTGAGGCGACTAACGGGATTGGGTTGTCAGGCTCGCTGACTTGGTTGATGCATGTCATCGTATCCCAATTGCGTGGATCGATGCTCATGTTGTCAATCACTGGATTGTCTGGTCCCGACTCGATTACTCACAGACCGCCGTCATATAGCTGGAATATTGCTGAGTGCGGCGTTAAACAACAAACAACCAAAGTTGTATACACTGAAAGTACACCCTACTTGACCTTTGATATTTGCATCACTATCCGTATATGACCCCAACGGATATCGTTTTTATTCTTGGTTTATCCTGCCGAAAAGCCTAACCATATCAGATAGATATCACCCGGTCGTCTAAGGCGCCGTGATTCGCCCCGATTATGTTTCTAGGTTTGTCAGCACCACACCCGTGCTCGTAGGTTTCAGCAAAGTGGTAAACGTCTAAGACCTGCATCACCTCGGGCTTTCCTCCCACATTAAGCTGACACGCCGTGATATAACTGGAATACTGTTAAAAGCGGCATTAAACCCAACTCACTCACTCACTATAATGTCCCGGATAAGATGGTACACCTCCATGTTTTACCTGGTGTTGACATGACAAAGGAGATGTGGTGGTGTGATGGTATCGGTCATAATTCAGTCAGTAATGTCATGACTTCTTCACAGAAAGGTTTTGTATTTTTTGTTAGTTGAATTGCTGCAGTTCCATAAACATAAAGGATTTAGGTATGAATACAAAGTGCTACGATGCATCAACCAAGTCAGCGAGCCTGACCACCCGATCCCGTTGGTCGCCTTTTACGACAAGCATGGGTTGCTGAAGACCTGTTCTACCCCGGATCTTCACAGGTCACGTGGTGGAGTGAGACACGGACAATGAGGATCGTTGCTCATAACATCCATCACTGGTTTTTTTCTGGCGCAGACATATTTTCAGGTCTCCGTCATACAGATGAAGTAAAGCAGAGAGGGACGTTAAACAAAAGAAAAGAAAATACACAATATACCAAAAACAACCCAATCGCCATAAACTGAAGTTTATTTGAAATATCAACCTGATCACCAGGCCCCAGGGTCTACCAGCCCTCCGCTGTGTACTGCGTCCATCATGCCCATCTGGTGACATAGCTGCTCATTCTTTGCAAATCAGTCGGTCAACTCGCTGAGTAGTCTCTCTCACCAGTACGTTGCAATTGGTGGTGATGACGGTGCACAGCAATGCCCTGGAAAATAGGCAGTTTTACCATCAGAGTGTTGTTGTGGGAGAACAAGAATTCTTTACTTCAGGGTAGGATGGTGTTGGGAGTGAGGTGTGTGTTTTAGTAAGTGAGTGAGTGAGTATTGTTTTACGCCGCTTCTAGCACTATTCCAGCAGTATCACGGCGGGGGACACCAGAAATGGGCTTCACACATTGTACCCATGTCGGGAATCGAACCCGGGTCTTCGGCGTGACGAGCGAAGGCTTTAACCACTAAGCTATCCGACCGCCCCGTTTTAGTAAGTGGGTGGGTGGGTTTGTAATGCGAATGTGGGTGCGTTGGTGGGTAGGGCGGAGGGTTGGTGGGTGGGTGAAGTATTATCATTTTGTTTTGTTTTGTTTTTTTGTTGTTTAACGCCGCACTCAGCAATATTCCAGCTATATGACGGCGGTCTGTAAATAATCGAGTCTGGACTAGACAATCCAGGGATTAATATCATGAGCATCGATCCACGCAATTGGGATTGATGACATGCATCAACCAAGTCAGCGAGCCTCACCTCCCGATCCCGTTAGTCGCCTCTTACAACAAGCATAGTCGCCTTTACAGCAAGCATGGGTTGCTGAAGACCGATTCTACCCGGATCTTCACAAGATGGTAAGAAAAACAGTTGACTTCAGTACCCGTGTCGGGTATCCGAGCTCACCAGTATATATACTCTTTAAAAATGTAGCGGATAATCCGAAATAACTTACAATTTCCTATACTGTATAAGGATTTAGTTTCTAGTAACAGTTGTGTGGTAATAATTAACGATTTGGGAACAAAGTACAACCGGTAGTGAAGTATGACAATAGATGTTATGACCGCCAATGATCTTGAAGGAGAATTAGGGAACCCTACGCACGTGTTTGGCACTACTGCGTGCGGCACGTGCAAACTATCGGATGCGGTTTGGTATTAACATTTCTATTTCATGAAGGGGCGGTCGGGTAGCCTAGTGGTTAAAGCGTTCGCTCGTCACTGCGAAGACCCGGGTTCGATTCCCGACATGGGTACGATGTGTGAAGCCCATTTCTGGTGTTCCCCGCCGTGATATTGCTGGAATATTGCTAAAAGCGGCGTAAAACCACACTCACTCATTCTATTTCATGATCCCCTTCCTTTTTTAAGAGTCTATATGCCACACAATCGACATTTTTGTATTATAACTTTTTGCTAAAAGGCTAACATTCTATCTGAGCCATCCTCATCACTCAACAGCAACAGCCATTGCAGCAAAGAATTCAAACAGTATAGAAATCTGATGCCTAAGATATCAAAACAGCCGCAAAACAAGTGGCAGTGGCAGGGTTTGATGATGCAACTTCAGGCACATCTTGGATTACATCTAGGGGCACGCAGCTTGACCTCTCCAAATCATTTATCAAATGAAAAAATGGTTGTAAGGCCTTTCACTCTGCTGCAAATACTGCTGCCTTGATAGAATACAATACAAAGCCCTAATGCTAGTCCATGTTTGTTTGTTTGTTGTGTAACGCTGCACTCAGTAATAATCCAGCTGTATGACGGCGGTCTGTAAATAATCGAGTCTGGACCAGACAATCCAGTGATTGACATCATGAACATCGATCCACGAAATTGGGATACGGTGACATGCACCAATGCTAGCCAATGCTGCAGCAACAGGTAATTCACTAGAAACACTACAAGTAGAAAAAACCCGGAACTCCGTATGAAACCAAGAGTGAGTGAGTGAGTGAGTATTATTTTACGCCGCTTTTAGCAATATTCCAACAATATCACGGCGGGGGACACCAGAAATGGGCTTCACACATTGTACCCATGTCGGGAATCGAACCCGGATCTTCGGCGTGACGAGCGAACGCTTTAACCACTAGGCTACCCGACCGCCCCATGAAACCAAGAAGAGAGCAGGCAATATTATCGTTCTGGGGACGAACTTCAAACCCTTTGGTGAAAACTATATGTCAAGACAAAAACACCCAAGATGAATAAAAAATCCTCACTAAAGCAATCTGGGATATTAGTATGTGAACTCATCCGAAGTCACAATTGTGATGAAATTTAGCCACCAGAAAAGGGTTACACCCTCTGTGGACTCCCAAAGTTGACGCTGCTTTAACATCAGAAGTTACAATAACTGAAAACTCAACCCTACTACGATCAGGAGCTATCACTAAAGTTCAAACTACCCGGGACGGCCGGGTCCATATATACACTGGTGGATCCAAAGAATTCTATCAACAACACTGCTGGTTGCGAGATCCATATCCGCAGCTCCAAACCCCAAGCACATTCAGTTCGCCTGCCTGACGCCCATTCAGTATTCACTGCTGAATTTGAGGCCATTCACCGTGCACTCATATCGGAACTACCGGAAGCAAAGGCAGTCAAGTGCACAACAGCGGCAGAACTCACACTCAAGCCCCAAGAGTCAACAATATTCTATACGAATATACAAAACTATCAGACCAAGGGAAACAGGTGAAGCTGTGTTGGATCCCGTCTCGCATAGATATTCATGGAAATGAAAAAGGAGACACACTGGCGAAGCTAGCTCTAGGCAAAGCAAACTAGATATAAAACAAAATCAAAGTCTCTATGGTCCAAAAATGTCAAGCCCAATGGGGCGCAAGTAAGATAGGCAGATGGCATACAGTCGTCTAAGGCGCCGCGATTCGCTGTACAGAGTTGCGTCCCTTGGGCACGCCAGAAACCTTTGATTGTGGGTTCGAATCCCGGTTCGCCCCAATTATATTTCTAGGTTTGTCAGCACCATATCCGTGCTCGTGGGTTTAACCGAAGTGGTAAACGTCTGAGGCCTGCATCACTTCGGGCTTTCGTCCAACATCAATGATATAACTGGAATACTGTTAAAAGCGGCGTTAAACCCAACTCACTCACTCCTGAAGCAAAGAGATGTAATAGCGGAGGCCAAACAACAATCAGGGAGACAGGTCCAGATCATCGACAGATGCGGACGGATTGTACGGTTAGTCATACCTCACTAACGACTACCTCGACGATGAAGAATCGCCACCGACCTCCTGATGGTTCTGTCACGTGATTACCATCATGTACCTTTTCTACCGCTACCCCCATCAATAAATATGGCTGCTGTCGTCTAAACTTCACCCCTGAGTTTTGTCTTCCGTTATCACTCGGAGCTACAATCGGGGGAAAAACGTACGCTCTTGGACACTATCAACACCTAGTTAATCTATATTCAGTAAATACTTTTATACATGATGAAATCAATAAAGAAAACCAGAGTACTGCAAACTTCAGGGTTTAAGCAGGTATTGGCAACTCAGGGTAACTGAAGGATGACATGACGTAATTCTGTTCACAACGTTTTCCTATTATGGTTGGTTTGTTGTTTAACTGCACTGTTTGTGACAGTGCTTTATGTATTGGATAAAACACGTCCGAGGCGTGTTATGATATTTAAAACCCGCATCCCGAGGGATTTTCCGAGGGAAAGGGTTTTAAATATCATAACAACCCGAGGGGAAGTTTTTTATCTTACTTATAAACCGAGAAAAGAAACTTAAAACAACATTTATCAACATTTTTATGTTTCGAACATACTTTCCATGAACCTTAGGAAACGGGCGTAAAATATCTGTTGCTGGCGTACGGATCTTGAAAAGGACATTCTAAAAACCAGTGAGGCTTATCAACATCTCTGAAGCCTTGTGGTACACTCACTGGGCTACAGATATGAAGGTTGCGAGTTCGATCCTCGGGTATATTAAGAAAACATTTGTCATTTGATTTTACATTACATGTTACAATCTGAACGGAAGTTATATAAATAAAATACCCAGGACATTATATAAAATCCCTGGGATATTATAACACATATATACCAAATATGACTTGAATATCCTTTTAAATCCCGGGGATATTATATAAAATCCCAGGGACAGTACAACGTCCCTGTTTATGAGGTTTAACCCGACTGGAGAACAATAGGATGACGTCACCGGAGGTTTATAATAGTTTATTACTCTCATTAATGATAGTAATCAATGGCTGAACCTAGCTCTAAGCGCCGTTTGTTTGTAGTTCTCCTGGGACCGTTCTCCTTTGGTCAATTTAGACCCGTGAGATTGCACGTGAGGCTCTCGGGTTCAGTGCATGTTTAGACATCAGCTGGGTGTATTCAGAAGTGTAAGAAGTTGCTTTGGATGGGGCTGTTTTGAAGTGGTGGACTGACAACATTCAAGGTTATGCAGCTATAGTGTCCCTATGTCTGCCTACCCACTTTAACAACAGATCCCTCCTTACAACGGTGGGGTGCAATGTTTGACAACGCCAACATTTCAACTGGTGGCAGATGGTCAGTCAAGAAGCCCAAATGACGGACAACATCAATTCTCTTGAAATGAAAGCAGCTTATTTTGGCATGTAAGACTCAGATGTTAATCACATGGGAGTAACACAGTCGGTGGCATGCAACGTCAGTTGCTGGAGATACTTTGCTTTATGCTATGAAGCCGAGACCCGTGAAGATTCCGGGGTAGAATAGGTCTTCAGCAACCCATGCTTGCCTTAAAAGGTGACTATGCTTGTCGTAAAAGGCGACAAACGGGATCGGGTGGTCAGGCTCGCAGAATTGGTTGATGCATGTCATCGATACCAATGGCGTGGATCGATGCTCATGACATTAATCTCTGGATTGTCTGGTCCAGACTCGATTATTTACAGACCGCCGTCATGTAGCTGGAATATTGCTGAGTGCGTCTTCAAACAACAAACAAACAAACAAATCTTACGATAAACACGGATTCGTATGGAATACTGTAGGGGACAGTCTAGTGATCTCGCATTCTCGCGATCTCGACCTTTTGGAAACGAGCTAAATATGCCAAAAGTGCGAGAATGCGAGATCGCGAGAATGTCCCTTACAGTAATCCACAGAATCGCCCCGGCCGTCCAGGGTTTTGAAATCGAACGGAAACAGCGCTATGGACAACCTACTGTGAAGTACAGGCGTTGATTCCACCGTCAATGCACGTCAGCGTCACGCCGCAGGCTTCGACCTCATACTCCGACTGATAGCTGATTGGGCGATTCATCACGTCACATGTATTACCTGAAATAGATTATGCACCTCGGGTGTTTTTTGTATGGATAATTTGTTCTATAAAAATGTTGGAAAACATATATTGACATAAAAATAACAGACATTATTAGTGGACATGCTGGAAAGTATGAAGGAAAAATGTTCCGTGGTTCGAAAATAATCTGCATGTTTTGAGGTAGTAACGAAGTCTCGGGGGAGAGTGGGACGGCGAGTTAGCTTTGTGGTTAAAGTGTTCGCTAGTCACGCCGAAAGCCCGCGTTCGTTCGTTCCCCACATGGGTACAATGTGTGAAGCCCATTTCCGGTGTCCCCGCCGTGATATTGCTGGAATATTGCTTAAAGCGGCGTAAAACGTTACTCACTCAATCAATCACTCCAGCGTGATTGATGTGGGAGGGAAGCCCCACGTGACGTAGCCGTAGGACATTTTCCACTCTGGTGAAACCCACCAGCAGGGATATGTTGCTGTCAAGGGTCATAATCTCTGCAGAATGCAAGATTCGGACCGCACATCCATGCTTTTGGCGCAACTCTGTGACGCTTATTGCCATCACTTGATTGTCTAGTTTGTTCACAGGACGCCTTGGCATGACAAAAGTACTGCTGTGTGTAGTCAGGCAATAAATACTGAGTTTACTTTTTTATGCAAATTGTGTGAATGGCGGGTGCTACCGGTAGGGCAGCACTTCTTTTCACGAACACCTGGTGTCATCACTGATTTTCAGTGGTCTATTCATATAATTTTCGCAACTATTTTGCCGTTTTCGTCAAATGTAATCTGTTTCTGTGGATAATCTAGACTGGTTATTCCCTTGCCTTGACGTCTTATATTTACACCATTCTTTTACAATGTCGAATGGAGATGAAGCACTTCAGGCAAAAGAAATGGGACATCAAATTAACCTTCCAAATTGCACGCAAATAATTCATAAGAAACCCTTAATTTCGTATTTTCTAATAACGCCACTCCAAGAATGATTTTTTTGCCACAGAGACGTAAAGAGATCTGTCCACGTATCGGATATCACTTTTTGTTTCTCCTCTGTTTGCTGTTTAACGCCGCACTCAGCGATATATCAACTATATGAGTCTGGACCAGATAATCCAATCACTGACATCATGAGCATCAAGCAGGTCACCGAGACCCCCGACCCAAACCCGTCGGTCGCCTCTTACGACAAGTAGGGTTGCTGAAGACCTATTCCAACCCGGATTTTCACGGCTGCTCATAAAGAGATAAAGGTAACCAATACGAAATGTTGAACATATGAATATGGACATATATATAAATGCAATTACCGTTAGCCTCTACTATCATACTAGATATGATGCAATGATTTGAAGAAGCAACGACACACCACGTGCACGTCAAGAGGAGATAACCCAGCATCTTCATCTTCAAGGACGAGGATTTCTGAAGTGAAAAGACAAGTAGATCACGTACTAATACAAAATTGACATCCAGTAGCATCTGGGCTCACTTGCACAAAGCGATCTTAGCGCTAAGATGATCGTAACTCCCATACTTTCACATAGGCTTACAATAGTTGTAGCGCTAAGACCGCTTTGTGCAAGTGGGCCCTGGTCGTCGTGAGAGCTGACTAGAGTGGGGATTGGTTATCATAATCTGTGAATTGGTTGATTTGCATGTCATCATGGTGGCGGAGTGGTCAAGCGGTCAAAAGCGCCATGCTAGCAAGCGCCAGATGCTGAGATCGTATCCCGCTAGGGACCGGGTTGTTATTCAGCCTTGGGACCAACAATGTTTACAGGCCTTTACGGTGTTGTCACTACTCCAAGTGTACAGTACATTCACCATATGCAATCAAAAGAACCCACTCGTCCGATGGTAGATGAGCAGATGGTGGAAACACGAATACGGACATACACACATAAACCTATGATTGTGTGTTCGAATCCCGGTTATGTAGTCTGCGTTATACCCGTGCTCGTGGGTTTCACCAAAGTGGTAAACGTCTCAGACCTGCACCACTTCGGGCTTCCCTCCAACATCAAGCTGACACGCTGTGACAAAAGTGGAATACTATTCAAAGCGGCGCTAAACTCACTCAGTCACCCATTACTCTTGTGTACGGTTCCGTTTGGTTAACTGGGTTTCTGTAGTTATTACTTCCGGTTTAGTTTTGAAGTATGTTTAGAAGAAAGTTACTATGTTCAACCCAAACATCGTGAATATGTCACGCCACCGTATAATTGTTTAGGAAAATAATTGCAAACTACAGACCATCCTCTTGAATTCAAATGTCTCCAGAAGCAAAGAACTTGTGTTTAATCTCTGCCGGAAGTGTCAATGTAGAACCGTAACAGAACTGTAATGTCCAATCATATAACAACAGCATATGATAAAAGAAAAACACATACCGGTGGTCTGGCATACACACTATCTTGTCACAATATTTTGTGGTCTGTTTGTAGGTATTTATGTACAGTAGGTATCTCCAACATTCGACTCTTACAATGTTAGATGCTACGGAAGATGAAACAACCGTTTACATACTGATAATGATTATCTTCTAATTCATTTACAATTTCAAGTAGTCATATTTCGGCACGATATAACAATCCTGGACACACTTCAAATAGTTTGAAGACTTTTGTACGGTATGGTTTATATTTGGCCAAATATTTCATTAAACTGAAAACTTGAATTAAACTTGATTAGCTCGCACAAATATTAGCTATGTGTTTACTCCATACCAAAGATCTTGGAAATAGTGAGTGATTTAGTGAGTTGGGTTTAACGCCGCTTTTAACGAGGCGTGTCAGCTTAATGTTGAGGAAACCCGACGAGTTGCAGGTCTTACACGTTTACCACTTCGGCGAAACCCACGAGCACGCGTATGGTACTGACAAACCTAGAAACATAATTGGGGCGAACCGGGATTCGAACCTATTATAACAGGTTTCTGGCGCATACAAGGGACGTAACTCTGCACAGCGAATCGCGGCGCCTTAGACGACTGGGGAACCCGTGCCCCCATCTTGGAAATTTAAAACGTAAATACTTCTATGACGAAACACTAAACTGTACACCATCACAGGTACATGTTCATATTTCGACAGCGTGCCACCATTCTTGAAAACTATAATATTGATTTGTCTAAAAAGATACATATATTATGTTCTTGTAAAATTCCTTCAAGACGTGATTGTAAACCAAACATCAGAAACAAACACAAACAAAATAACTGTACCCTACATGTTTCCATTCCATTGTCAAATCGTTCATAAAAATAGAGAATAATAAAAGACTTAATACACGTCCCTGTCGTAGACTGAATGTGTATATGTACAATTAAGCCACAGGGTTCATCATGATTCAGGGAAATAGGGTCTTTGAAATAAATTTAAACGTAAATAAAAATCTCACTATAAGGAACGGAAACATCTTGTACATTTTTAAAGAACTCCGCTATATTCATTATGTGATTAATTCCGACTTATTTTAGTGAGTGAGTTTGGTTTAACTCTGCATTGATAAGTATTCCAGTTATTGCGATTCCTCAGACGACTGGGCCTCCCATGTCCCCATACACCCAGGAGATAGAGCTACAATATCATTGAATCACGATGTTTTGCAGACCGTAACGTCATAATCAAATGACATCGCTAAACTCTCTGCCACTGAAGCTGGTTAACTACTTTTTACACTCGAAATACTGGTTATTACTGTGATGGTAATTAGAACCTTACCCTCGTGTCTCTATATATCATATTTATCACCGCTGGTAGATGAAAAATTCGTGTCGACTCGTGTTGAACTATCTGACATCAAAAGGTACCCGGATGAGATTCTCTATATGACAGAGCAGGACATACAGAGGTTCCTCGAAGCATCTTTAATTTAGCTGGTGTATGTACGCCTTTAAAAAATCGCCGGTATTCTTCAAAGCGGTGGGTGCGCATCCCTGTCCTGCTGGACTCGCCCATGAAACCCTTCATTCCATAAAATAATCTCGGAATAAAGCCTCTTGAGAAAAAATAAGATATTGGAAGTCGAAGAAGTATTTGTTTTCGTCACACACACATAAGGAGTAGAACACAGACACCCAAAGCATGACACGAGAACAGACACACACACAAGAAGTAGAACATAGACATCCAAAGCATGACACGAGCACAGACACACACACAAGGAGTAGAACACAGACATCCAAAGCATGACACGAGCACAGACACACACACAATGAGTTGAACATAGACACCCAAAGCATGACACGAGCACAGACACACACACAATGAGTAGAACACAGACACCCAAAGCATGACACGAGCACAGAAACACACACACAAGGAGTAAAAATAATCTCGGAATAAAGCCTCTTGAGAAAAATTAAGATATTGGAAGTCGAAGAAGTATTTGTTTTCAGTACTGAAATTAAACAAGTTAAGTATGTTCAACCAACCTCCAATAGCTGTGTGACGCTCGGGGTTCCAGGAAGGACTGTAGGATAAACTCCACACGGAGCTGATGGTTGTTAGGACCAGGTGTGTTTGTGTTTACTTTCAGTAATCCATACATCGAGTGTGATTCTTGTAAGGAACTGTTTTTTGTTTACAACGTACGCTTGAATTCAACATACGGATCTGTACATGGTGCGGATAACGGGTCCTGTAACCACAGGGCTCTCTGGGCTATCATGATGACTGATATGTTACTTCGAGTTGCACGCATATTGAAGACGTGGTTCGATGTTAGTGCATTTCAATGTAATCGTTATCGCTTAAGGTACAACTTACATGGATCATGATTCACAATCCCGTCCTATGGAAAGTGCCTCATTACTTTCGTTTTTCGATACAGTTATTGCGTCTTATACATTAATTCATCGAATGTTGCTACACTGGCAAACGGGAATACTCTGTCTTTGCGACACACACAAGCACATGACACGAGCACAGACACACACACACACACACACACACAAGGAGTAGAACACAGACACCCAAAGCATGACATGAACACAGACACACACACAAGGAGTAGAACACAGACACCCAAAGCATGGCACGAGAACAGACACACACACACAATGAGTAGAACACAGACACCAAAAGCATGACACGAGCACAGACACATACACACAAGGAGTAGAGCACAAACACCCAAAGCATGACACGAGCACAGACACATACACACAAGGAGAAGAACACAGACACCCAAAGCATGACACGAGCACAGACACACACACAAGGAGTAGAGCACAGACACCCAAAGCATGACACGAGCACAGACACATACACACAAGGAGAAGAACACAGACACCCAAAGCATGACACGAGCACAGACACACATACCCAAGGAGAAGAACACAGACACCCAAAGCATGACACGAGCACAGGCACACATACCCAAGGAGAAGAACACAGACACACAAAGCATGACACGAGCACAGACACACACACACAAGGAGTAGAACACAGACACCCAAAGCATGACACGAGCACAGACACACACACACAAGGAGTAGAACACGGACACCCAAAGCATGACACGAGCACAGACACACACACAATGAGTAGAACACAGACACCCAAAGTATGACACGAGCACAGACACACACACAATGAGTAGAACACAGACACCCAAAGCATGACACGAGAACAGACACACACACACAGGGAGTAGAACACAGACACCCAAAGCATGACACGAGCACAGACACATACACACAATGAGTAGAACACAGACACCCAAAGCATGACACGAGAACAGACACACACACAGGGAGTAGAACACAGACACCCAAAGCATGACACGAGCTCAGACACACACACATAAGGAGTAGAACACAGACACCAAAAGCATGACACGAGCACAGACACATACACACAAGGAGTAGAACACAGACACACAAAGCATGACACGAGCACAGACACACACACATAAGGAGTAGAACACAGACACCCAAAGCATGACAGGAGCACAGACACATACACACAAGGAGTAGAACACAGACACCCAAAGCATGACACGAGCACAGACACATACACACAAGGAGTAGAACACAGACACCCAAAGCATGACACGAGCTCAGACACACACACATAAGGAGTAGAACACAGACACCCAAAGCATGACAGGAGCACAGACACATACACACAAGGAGTAGAACACAGACACCCAAAGCATGACACGAGAACAGACACACACACAAGGAGTAGAACACAGACACCCAAAGCATGACACGAGAACAGACACACACACAGGGAGTAGAACACAGACACCCAAAGCATGACACGAACACAGACACATACACACAAGGAGTAGAACACAGACACCCAAAGCATGACACGAGAACAGACACAATCATAAGGAGTAGAACACAGACACCCAAAGCATGACACGAGCACAGACACACACACATAAGGAGTAGAACACAGACACACACACACAAGGAGTAGAACACAGACACCCAAAGCATGACACGAGCACAGACACACACACAAGGAGTAGAACACAGACACACACACACAAGGAGTAGAACACAGACAACCAAAGCATGACACGAGCACAGACACATACACACAATGAGTAGAACACAGACACCAAAAGCATGACACGAGCACAGACACATACACACAAGGAGTAGAACACAGACACCAAAAGCATGACACGAGCACAGACACATACACACAATGAGTAGAACACAGACACACAAAGCATGACAGGAGCACAGACACACACACATAAGGAGTAGAACACAGACACCCAAAGCATGACACGAGCACACCACATACACACAAGGAGTAGAACACAGACACCAAAAGCATGACACGAGCACAGACACATACACACAATGAGTAGAACACAGACACACAAAGCATGACACGAGCACAGACACACACACATAAGGAGTAGAACACAGACACCCAAAGCATGACACGAGAACAGACACACACACAGGGAGTAGAACACAGACACACAAAGCATGACACGAGCACAGACACACACACATAAGGAGTAGAACACAGACACCCAAAGCATGACAGGAGCACAGACACATACACACAAGGAGTAGAACACAGACACCCAAAGCATGACACGAGAACAGACACACACACAAGGAGTAGAACACAGACACCAAAAGCATGACACGAGCACAGACACATACACACAAGGAGTAGAACACAGACACCAAAAGCATGACACGAGCACAGACACATACACACAAGGAGTAGAACACAGACACCAAAAGCATGACACGAGCACAGACACATACACACAATGAGTAGAACACAGACACACAAAGCATGACACGAGCACAGACACACACACATAAGGAGTAGAACACAGACACCCAAAGCATGACACGAGCACACCACATACACACAAGGAGTAGAACACAGACACCAAAAGCATGACACGAGCACAGACACATACACACAATGAGTAGAACACAGACACACAAAGCATGACACGAGCACAGACACACACACATAAGGAGTAGAACACAGACACCCAAAGCATGACACGAGAACAGACACACACACAGGGAGTAGAACACAGACACCCAAAGCATGACACGAGCTCAGACACACACACATAAGGAGTAGAACACAGACACCCAAAGCATGACACGAGCACAGACACATACACACAAGGAGTAGAACACAGACACACAAAGCATGACACGAGCACAGACACACACACATAAGGAGTAGAACACAGACACCCAAAGCATGACAGGAGCACAGACACATACACACAAGGAGTAGAACACAGACACCCAAAGCATGACACGAGCTCAGACACACACACATAAGGAGTAGAACACAGACACCCAAAGCATGACACGAACACAGACACATACACACAAGGAGTAGAACACAGACACACAAAGCATGACACGAGCACAGACACATACACACAAGGAGTAGAACACAGACACACAAAGCATGACACGAGCACAGACACACACACACAATGAGTAGAACACAGACACCCAAAGCATGACACGAGCTCAGACACACACACATAAGGAGTAGAACACAGACACCCAAAGCATGACACGAGCACAGACACATACACACAAGGAGTAGAACACAGACACCCAAAGCATGACACGAGCACAGACACACACATAAGGACTAGAACGCAGACACCCAAAGCATGACACGAGCACAGACACATACACACACAAGGAGTAGAACACAGACACCCAAAGCATGACACGAGCACAGACACACACACACAAGGAGTAGAACACAGACACCCAAAGCATGACACGAGCACAGACACACATAAGGAGTAGAACACACACACCCAAAGCATGACACGCGCGCGCACGCACGCACGCACACACACACAGACACACAGACACACACACACACACACACACACACACACACACACACACACACACACACACACACACACACACACACACACACACTGAAGCATGACACGAGCACATATATATTACTAATGAAGACTGTATTGCGCGAGCATTCCTTACACCATTATATTTAACAGATAGAAACACACGAAAATGCGTCAAACAAACGATTATCATAATTATCTTTCCTATATTTTCCTGTTGTCGGTATTAATGATGTCTTTAAATATTATAGTTTCTGTAGAAATCAATAATGTGTACGATCATCGGCTATGCCCAAAATACTTGTATATTGATTTAGACTGACATGCGCTGAAACGTAAACCAAAGGTTAACCGCAGTTCGCCTGATGTCATCCATACATACGGACGGTCAACCTGACCCTGAGGTCGCCTGTCACTTTTGAGTGCAATGCACATTAAGCACGTGAGCCGCAATAAGTCACTCAGCTCTGTCAGCCTACTGCACTGACGGAGCGCCGTCATACGAGCTGGGCCTTGTACAGCAGGGCGACTGCAGGAGGTGACGGAGATCGATGATAAAGTAGGGGCCCACAGTAGCCGAGAAACATAAATATCTCAGTGCAAAGGGGCACTTGTTTGTTTGTTGTTTAACGCCGCATTTAGCAATATGCAAGCTGTATGTCGGCGGTCTGCAAATAATCGAGTCTGTACCAGACAATCCAGTGATTGACATCATGAGCATCGATCCACGCAATTGGGATCGATGACATGCATCAACCAAGTCAGCGATCCTGACCACCCGATCCCGTTAGTCGCCTCTTACAAGCATAGTCGCCTTTTACGACAAGAATGGGTTGCTGAAGACCTGTTCTATCCCGGATCTTCACCGGTCGCACTCACATGTCATTTGCAATATTGAAAAAAACAGCTTTTGAAAATGGAACCCTGCTATTTACATTCAAGGACAGCGAAGTGGATAGTGCGGAAACACAATGCTTGTTCGATGACTACCATTGATCCGAACATATGGTAATCCGCATACGTGTTTGATGATATTAACGTGAGTGAGTTAGCGAGTAAAACTTAAAGTCAGATCGGCAGTATTTCAGCAAAACCATGTAAAAATAGATGGACAGTACAACTAGAATATCACAGAGATTATTTGAAATTAGTA